GCTTTAATCATGAAAGGGTGTTGGATTTTATCAAAGGCTTTTTCTGCATCAATTGATAGTACCATATGGTTCTTGTTCTTTGCCTTGTTGATGTGCAGGCCACTGTTTCAGTCACTGTGTCAGTCCAGGTTGTTGAGGGTCATCCTCTGGCCTTTTCCAGCACGTCTTTTCCCAAGGACTGGGCCCTACTGACAATAATGGGGAGAAAAAATGAGATGGAGATACATTAACCATCCCTCTCTTAATTAGGGTGATTAGGAAGGAGAACAAAGGGAGCCCCAGTGCCTCAAGGATAAGGAGTGCTCTACCCACCCAAAGACAACAGGGTTCACATCCCCCAGCAGCTCTGTGGGAGAAAGATGGGCAATCTCCTCTGTGATTTATAGCTTCTGCAAACCTGCTGGAGGGTCAGCTGTGAATGTGTTCCAACTCCATGGCAATGAGTGAGTGAGTAAATGAAGGAGTAAAACAAAAATGGTATTGTCTCCACCCTGGCAAAGCATAATGGACTTCAGTCTGCACTTTTGATTAGATGAGAAAGAAAACATCTACTATCTCCCACTTTGCAAATTTGACATTTATTTTATCTTTTGCTTTGTTGTCCTCTGAGGATCTGACATAAACAGACCCCTGAGCTTAATGAACTTTATTCAGTCCTCCTATGGCCATATAAATTTACACCTCGGTTTCCAAGTTACTAGAGGAAGCCAAGGACCTTGTTTTGAACTTGAATTTCCCTTTCAGGTCTGCGTGTCTGGCGTACTAATCCTGGCTCGGTTTTTGACTACGATCCGGCAGAAGACAACATTCAGTCTCGGAGCTTACACATGATCAATGGTATGCTGTGCTGCAAAGGCTTGTGGGTGTTGTAAACTAACAAACACAGCCATTCAGTGGGCTACAGTCAACGGCTTTTCTACTCACGTGCCTCCTCTCCTCTAGGGTTTTCCATTATCTTGGTCTCTCACTCAAGACAAAAACACATAGTTGCCTAGAGGGTAAAACTACATTCTCTAGACAAATCCAAGTTAGAAAAAGATTTTGTTGCGTGCTTCAGTCCATGTCTCCTTCATGGTCCATTATTATAATTTTCCCCCTAAAAAAGGGGGTGGGGTGATTTGAAAATCTATCAGGGAAGTAACAGAAACATTCATAGGCAAAAGGAAAGGAATTGGTTTGACTTTTATCAAGTTTCTGAACTCTCTTGAGTCAGACAAAGTTACTCATTCAACAAAATCATATGTAAACCTTCACACCTTCTGTTCATGTTAAAAATAGAATACAGTCTTCAAATGATTCACATTAAAATTTAATGAGATAAGAGAGATGAGTAAATCAGTGGTTACACCCCAGCATGGTATTTTTAAAGGTAAAGTATCAGGCTACAAGCTGTGAAGCCAGCAGATCAAATCCACCACTTGCCTCATGGGCAGATTTATTGCCTTACAAAATCTCTCAATGAGTAGTCTGAGGTAACTCCATGGTAGTGAACGTGTTTGGTTTTGGAGTTTGCTTTTGCTGTTGGGGAACACAGCAAAAGAGCATCCAAATCAATCTGGGAGCTAGGGAAGACTCTTCTGAAGACCTGCATAACCTAGCTTGTTGATGAGTCTTTCTCCAATCCTATGCCACATTCTTCCTCATATCGTCCAGCCTCCCAAATGTTCTGTTCTGCATGCAGACTGAAAAGGTAGCAATCCGTGCCAACATTATTTTTGAGAGGATCAGCAGATTGAAAGTGTTTTTCATGTTCTATTTTATTGTGACTAATATATATGTTAACAAAATTTCTCTTAAAAAAGAAAGAAAAGGTATGGAGAAATGTTACATCCCTGACATACTCCTTTCTTGATTTTGAACCATGCAGTATTCCCTTGCTCTGTTCATACAACAGCTTTCCTGTCTAGGTCTAAGTTATGCATGAGCACAATCAAGTGTTCTGGGATTCCTATTCTTCTCAATGTTAGGCACAATTTGTTTTGATCCACAGTCAAATGCCTTTGCATAGTCAATGAAACACAAAAAGGCACCCTTCTGGTACTTTGTGCTTTCAGCCAACATCCATCTGACATCAGCAATGATATCCCCAGTGTCACAGTCTCTTCTAAACCCAGCTTGCATTTCTGCCAATGTACTGTTCTAGTCGTTTTTGGATAATCTTCAGCAAGATTTTGCTTGCATGTAATATTAGTGCTATTGTTTGATAATGAATGAAGGGTAAAGTGGGACTATTTGAATGAGAATATTACTATGTATCTATTTTGGTAAGGCAGAAAAAAAGGGGCCAAATAGAAAGTAGAAATAGATGTTTAGGATGGACTCTTGGATTTGAATCCTGGCTGTACTCAGAATGATTCCATACACATTAAAGAGCAACCAAGTCTTTCTAGTCCATTCCAACTCTTGGTGACCCTTTAGCAGGTTTCTGAGTCTGTAAATCTTTAGGAGAAGAGCCTACCCATTTTCCATTCATACTATTGATCTTTAGGTTGGCAGCCCCAAGTATTATGCACTACGCCACTACTGCTAGTAAGGATTTAGTGCATAGGAATCCATTTTAAAACACTATTTGGTTTTAAGCACTATCAAGTCAGAACCAATTCATAGTTTTTAAAACACTCTTTGGTTTTAAGCACTATTAAGTCAGAACCAATTCAGTGCGTTTTCAGAGGCAGTAAATCACATGGGAGGAGACTGCCAATTTTTCATCTGTGGAGCAGCCAGTGGATTTGAACCACAAACCTTTAGGCTGACAGTGCAACTCCTTACCACTAAGCCACCAGAGCTCACTTAAAAGCATGTTTGGTAAAATAAACAAAATAATCAACCAGCCAGTTGTCATGTAGGCAGTTCTAACTACTGGCTAACCCCTATGTTTCAGAGTAAATGTGCCTCGTAGAGTTTTGTTTTTTTAAAGGACAAGTGAAGTTTGTTGAGAGATGGTCCATATTGGGGGAATATCCATCCTCACAGGGGGGAGAGTGGCCACTCCCTGTGCGCCAGAGAGTTTTCAAGGACTGAGATTTTTTTTTTTTTTTTTTTTTTTGCAAACAAATCACCAGGTCTTTCTTCCTCCATCTCTGGATGGACTTAGATCTCAAGCCTTTCAACATGGAATTTTTGTCTCTCCCAGCACAAGCTCAGCGTCGGAGCCAATCCCGATCTGCCAGCGTGATGAGCATCAGTGGGGGCGAGGAGAAGTCTGAGCATTCTGAAGCGGGCAACCAGCATCTCTCGACCTACAGTGATGGAGGCGTCTTCTTCAACATAACTGCAACAGGTACTAACTCTGACAGAGGCAAACCTCTTATAATATTAATTCTAATTGATTGATGTAATTATTAAATTACAATGTGTATCAATCCCTTTTTGTATATTGCCTTTCCCTTCACCCAATTTACCTGTTAATTTCCATTGTCCTACCCCTTTCTTCTCATCTCTGGTAATCATGCAACAGTGATTCTATTTGTATATAAACTTTCTCTTGTTGTTATGTACAGCAGAGTCAGAACTGACCCATAGCTGACCCTACATCGGGTTTTCAGAGACAGTTAATCACATGGGAGGAGACTGCCCAACCTCCCGCAGAGCAGCCAGTGCTGTCGAACACATAATGTGCCTTTAGGATTGCAGGGCAGCTTCTTGCCACTAGGTAGCAACCAGAGCTCCCATAGCTTTTTATGTTGTTATGTTGTTGTTGTTAAGTGCCATCGAGTTGTAGGCTACACATAGTGACCCTATGAACGAAAGTCCTCAACACTTGTGTGATTTTCATCCTTTCTCCAGGTTCATAGAGTTTCTAGAGGCAAGATATTTATGGAAGTGGATGCCACTCCTGCTTCCAAGCTTGTTTTAATCTGGGAGCTTCACTCCACACTGTCCACCATGGGTAACCATTAACGCATTTGACACATCAGTGTCACAGTGTTCAGCTTCATAGCAACCACAAGTTACCTCTGTATGGCAAGTGAACACACCAGGGCTATACCATCTAGAAGAATGTTTGGGCAAAAACAATGAGAAACAGGCCTGAGGGTCACGGATTAGAAGTCACCCACCTTTGGTTTGGTACAATAGTGGTCTTATATTGTAATTGTCCTTTTGTGATTGACTTAAGGAAGCTCTGGTAGTCCTGAGAGAGTTGTACTATTAATCCAAAAGCCACACCTCTCTAGCCATTTGAAGTCACAGGTAGTTCACTAGGACAAAGGTGAACAATTTGTAGCGTTGGAAATCCAGTGGAGATCAGCTGTGAGTGCTTCCTACTCAAGGCAATGAAGTTTCCTGTCTCTCAGGACCATTTCCTCTAGATTTGCCCATGTTGTGCCATGTTTCACAAACTTTCTCTTTCTTAGGTGTTGCATTATACCCCATTATGTGAGAGTACCATCCTTTCTTTGTGGATACTTGGGTTGTTTCAAATCTTTGCTATAATAAATAATGCTGCAATAAACCCAAGTATGCATATATCAGTTCATGTCCAATCTCTTATTTCTTTACAACAGAGACCCATTAGTAGGATTGCTGGATCCAATGATACTTCTACCCTCAACTTTCTAAGGAAGTGTCAAACTTCTTTCTGTAGTGGTTGTATCATTTTACATTCTGACCTGTATGTCAAAGAGTTCCAATCTTTCCAAACCCTTGCTAGCATTTGTTTGTGATCTTGAATTTTGTAATTACTGGAATGAGATATCTTCTTGTTTTGATTAACATCTGATAATGAATGGGAACTCTGATGGACTAGTGAGTAAGGAGTTGTGCTGCCAACTTAAAGCTTTTCTAATCCATCAGCTTCTCTGAAGGAGAAAGATAGTCTCATGTAATTTTATAGCCTCTGAAAACCTATTAGAGTTCTAAATATGAGTCAGTTCTGACAAAGTGGCACATAATAAAAACAAATAGCAAAGGATCTTGAGCATTTCTTCATCCATTTGTCAGTCATTAGAATGTCTTCTTTGCTGAAGTTTCTTTTCATGCATGGCCTCTGCCCCTTTTGTAACTGGCTGGTTTTCTTTTTCTTGCTGGAGTATTGAAGGTTTCTACAAATTAAAGATTAATACCTTGTCAGATGTGTCCTTTTCAAATATTTTCCCAGTCTATAGGTTCTCTCTTCACTCTTTCGTAGAAGTATTTTGTTGCATGTAAGGATTTCCTTTTTGGAGGTCTCAGTCATTAGTTTGTGGGAGAAAGATGAGCATTCTCCTCCTGTGCAGATTATTGCCTCTGAAAACTGACTGGAGGGTCAGCTGTGGGTTGGTTCTGACTCGATGGCACACAGCAACAGTAACAGTCATCCAGTTTATCCTTTTCTGACTGTGTGCTTTCAGTTTGATAGTTTACTTATGCTATAAACTATAGCTCCTAAATTTGCCTGAAAATTTTCCTTGATTATTTTTATAGTTTTAGGCCTAGGTCTCCGCTCCATCTTGAGTTAGTTTTTGTATATAGTGAGATACAATATCTTGTTTCAATTCCCTGTAAAAAAAATTAGTTTTTATCAGCATCATTTGTTAAAAAAGTTATCATTCCCACATTTAATGGATTTTGTCCATCGTCAGGTGTCCTTAGGTGGATGGATTTACTTCTGAGTTCTCAGTTGTATTCCATGGGTCTATCTCTGAACCAGTAACAAGCTGCTCTTATTACCAGGGCTATCTAGTAGGTTTTGAGATTGAGCAAGGTCATAGTCTGCAATTACTTGCTATCCATCAGAAAGCTGGACAATGACTAGGGATGATAGAAGGAGAATTGATGCCTTTGAGCTGTGGTGTTGGAGAAGAGTATTAAATATACCATATACTGCCAGGAGAATAAACAGGTTCATCCTAGAGAGGGTGAAGCCAGGCTGCACCTTGGAGGCAAGGATTCTGAAGCTCCATCTGACATGCTTTGGCCATGTTGCAAGGAGGGATCAGTCCTTGGAGAGGGACGTCATGCTTGGAAGGGTGGAGGGACAGCACAGGAGAAGAAAACCCTCAATGAGATGGATTGACTAAGTGCCTCCGGTAATGGGGGTAGGTGTGCCAGAAACAATAAAGTTGGCACAGGATAGAGCAGGGTTTAGGGCTGTTGTACATAAGGTTGCTATGAGTCGCAGGCGACTCGATGGCACACAACAACTACAGCAAGTGTAAGGGCTCCTGCTTTGGTTTCCTTCTTCATTAGCACTTTTCTTACCTGCAGTCCCTTTCCTTTCCTACAGAGTTGATTACCTTTTGCATATCTCTTTGAAGAATGATGGTGGGACCTGGAATGCATTATATCTGTAGATCAATTTGGGTAGTGTTGCTTTTTTCACTATATTAATGCAAATCCATCCATGACCATATGTATTTATCTTTCCATTTATAAAGGACTCTTCAGTTTTCTATAGTAGTTTATAGTAATCTTTTGCAGTTTGTATAGGTCTTTTCCATCTGGACCACTATTAAATATGGCATTGTCCTTACATCCTTTCCAGAGTTCTTTTTTTAACTCTAAAAATCTGACTGATTTTTGCATGTTGATATTGTTCCTGGTTACTCTGCTGAATTGGTTAATTAGTTCCAGTAATTTTCTTGCTGAGTCTTTGAGATAGTCTAGATATAGGAACATATCATCAGCAGTGATAGTTTTACTTCCTCTTTGCTAATTTGGATGGCTTTTATTTCCTTTTCTTACCTTTTTGCTCTGAATAGGACTTCCAATACAGTATTAAATAGATGTAAAGGGCAACTTGGTCTGACTGCTGTTTACCAGGGGAATGCCTTCTCTCTCTCGCGCGCCACTGAGAGAAATGTTGACTGTGGGTTTGTACATATGCTTATGAGTCCTTGCTTCTAATGAACAGAATTTTGGAGAGACGTGAAGTTAGAGGCTTCAACTTCATTAATTTTATCAGATTCTCACTTGTTGGAAAGACTTCCTTTTAAGTTAAGGGAAGAGACAATACTATTCAGCTGCTAAACACATTAAACAGTAACTAGACACACTTTTCATTTTCATTTTTTCTCATTTGTGTGTGTGTGTACTGTCAAATCGGATCTGACTGGTACAGGAGGTTGTTCTCCTTCTCCAGCAGAGCATCTGGTGGATTTGAACTGCGCGCCTCTGGGATTGACACTTTTCATTTTCATGAGCCATTTTCTTCTTCCTTTCAGCTTATAAACATGCAAAAACCACAGAGCTCCCACAACAACGGTCCTCTTCAGTTGCTACCCAACAAACTACTGTATCTTCCATCCCATCTCATCCATCTACTGCTGGAGTAAGTAAACAAGAAATGACTTTCTTAAACTATTATTTTTTTGTTTAATTTTTAATTTTTTCCTACTATTTACAAAATTCTAATACAAATTTGAATAAATGCTTTTGATTTCTCTCACCCCACAGATACATCAAATTGAACAACCTAATATTAATCCCCTCTTGCCCCTGCACATCCACATCTCTCTGCTTCTAGCCTCTCTCACCATCCCCCCCCCCCGGATCTTTATACTCATTGTACAATAAGTTTTATACAATATTTATCCTTGTGGGACTGAGTTAGTTAACTCAGGATTAATGCTCTCCAGTCCCTCCCAAGTTAGGTAATAATTTACAAAGTTATTGTTCCTGCGTGATGCACAGTATTCCATTATGTGAATGTACAATAAGTTCTCAACCCATTAGTTTGTGGTTGGACATATGGGCTGTTTCCATGTTCTTGTGATGGTGAATAGTGCTGCTATGAATCTCAGTTTGTGCCTCAGTTCTCATATTCTCAGGGTATATTCCAAGTAGTGGAATAGCTGGGCCATATGGAATTTCTATGTTCAGCTTTTTTATTTTTTTAACATTCATGGATTTTATTTTTTTAAATTTTATTTTATTAATTTTAATTAACATTTAGAGAGATTTTGGATTTTCATTCATTCATTCATTCATTTTTTGTTGCACTTTTTTCTTTACGCTCCCTCCCCCCAGTTCGCTCCTCTCTTTGAAAAGAAAAAGATAAACTTCTTTGTTGGTATGCAATTCCCCTCCCCGCCGGCCCCGCCTCCAATGCACTCTGCTATGCAACTTTAATTCTGGATTCCTGCAATAATCATAATATGCTATCATATATCACTTTCAAACTATCTTCTCCCTCATGTGTTTCAATTCAGAATACATAATCTATCTAGTTTTTCTCAGTCTTACCCCAACCCTGATGTTAGTCACTTTCTACAACAGTGGCACCATGCAATATTTGTCCTTTTGTGACTGAGATATTTCACTCAGCATAATGTCCTCCAGGGTCACCCATTTGGAATAATATTGCATGAGTTCCTTGTTTTTCAATGCAGCGTAGTATTCCATTGTGTGAATATACCACAATTTCTCTATCCATTCGTTTGTTGATGGGCACTTAGGTTGTTTCCAACTCCTAGCTATTGTGAACAAAGCCGCGATGAACCTGGGTGTGCATGTATCTGCCTGGATGTCAGTTATGGTCTCTTTAGGGTATATTCCCAGTAGTGAAATTGCTGGGTCAAATGGTATCTCTATTTGCAATTTTTTGAGAAAGCGCCACACCACTTTCCACAATGGTTGCACCATTTTACACTTCCACCAACAGTGAATAAGGGTTCCAGTTTCTCCACAACCTCACCAGCATTTGTTGTTGCTTGCTGTTCTGTTAAATTTTGCTATTCTGACTGGGGTGAAATGATATCTCATAGTTGTTTTGATTTGCATCTTGGAGCTAGGGATTTTGAACATTTCTTCATGTGCTTGTTAGCCATCTGAATGTCGTCTTAGGTGAAGTGCCTGTTCATATCCTGTGCCCATTTTTCTATTGGATTATTTACCTTTATCTTGTGGTGCTCAAGTATTTTATAAATTCTAGATATAAGTCCCTTATCTGACATGTCATTACCAAATACTTTTCCCCAGTGTGTGGCTTCCCTTTTTACCTATTGGAGAAGTTTTTGGATGTGCATAGGAATTTGATTCTTAGAGTCCCATTCATCTATTTAATCTTCTCCTGGTTGTAGATTTTTCAGGATACTTGGAAGACTCTTTATGTTGTGGATTAGGACTACTAGGGTTAGTCCAAGTTTTTCTTTAATGAAGCTTATAGTCCTTGGTTTTAGTCCTAGGTCCATGATCCACCTTGAGTTGGTTTTTGTATATGGAGTGAGGTATGGATCTATGTTCAGCTTTTTAAGGAAGTGCCAGACTTTTCCTCATTATTTTTTTAAAGTATATATTTGCAATAACCACTATATGCATTTTGGGTTTAAATTTTTTATTTACTTTGGATAAAAATTAGCAATAAGCACTTTTATTGCAATAAAAAAAACTTGAAATGCATTATGTGATGCATTAGATTGGGAGTTGGGGGAGGGGAGCAGTAGCAACTTCTCTCAACCACATCAGTAGAGTTGGGCTTTCACTGGGTGTCAAGTACCTACAAACAGCACCTTCCATTTAAACTTGCCATTAAAGTTCTTAAAATTTAGGAAGTGGCTGAGCCTTGGTGGAATAAATTGTAAAATTCCTGAAAATCCATTAGAAAAACCCTAGAAGATAATACACTTACACATAAATGAAAAAAATAAAAATATACACATATACTATATACATGTACCATATATATTTATATATGTATATTTTAAAATGCAAGACAAACTATATTGTTTGCAAGATAAATTGCTAACTATTAAAAGTAACTGCATCTAAGAAGAAATTTGAGATATTTTATATCTCCAAAGTGTTACTTGGTTTAGTTGTTTTGGTGGGCATTCTGGAGGATTGTTTTTAGAAACCCTCAAACTTCCAAAGTAGGACATGCAATATTGCTATTACTACCATTTTCCTTCAGATTCGTCCACTCTAATAAACACAAGACTGATCCCTTAAAAGGAGAGGGGGAAATGTTCATATATTAAAGTAACACATAATTTTTTTTCTTCTGGTATATATGTGTATATGAAAGGAACACTGGTGAAGCCTAGGCTGTTGATGGAAAATTTTTTTACGTTGGAACTTGTTTTACTTATCTAGTACTGCTGTAAAAGAAAAGCCACAAATGGGCTATTTTAACAAACAGAAATTTGATTTCTCTCAGTAGAAGAGGCTAGAGTTCAGAGCTCACAGTGTCAACTCTAGAAGGCTTTTTCTGAAGTCTTCTCTTTCTGTGCTTCTGCTCCCTGGTTATCTCCATGTGTTTTGGCATCTTTCTTGCTGCCTCTCTTCCCGACTCACTTGTTTAATCCCTTCTATTTCAAAAGAGACTGCCTCAAATTACATGCTGTGCTAAGCTTGGAGTTGCAATAGTGAAGGATTGTTAGAGTAGGAAGCATCAAACAAAGATGGAAGGAATACACAGAGCCATTATACAAAAAACAATGACTCACCATTGAATCATTTTAGAAAGCAGCAAATGATCGAGAAATCAATGGTACTGAAGGAAGAACTTTAAGCTACACGGAAGGCATTGGCAAAAGTAAGCCTTCAGATATTAATGCAATGCCAATTGAAGTGTTTCAACAAAAAGATGTAGCACTGGATGCACGCTGACTGAAAGATATCCATAATTGTGTCCATTCGAAAGTAAAGTCACTCACCAGCATGCAGATTATAGAGCAATACCATCCCCTATCACATGTAAATATGATCTCGTGATGATTTTAAAATAGCAGTGCATTGATAGAGAACTGTTAGAAGTTCAGGTTGGATTCAGAAGAAACCATGCAACAAGGGATATCACTGCTGATACAAATGGATCTTGGCTGAAAGCAGAGACCACCAAAAAGATATTTGTGTTTTATTGACTATATAATCTGGTTATGTCGATCATAATAAATTTTAGATAATGTAGAGAAGAATAAGATCACTTCATTGTGTTCCCTCAAACCCTATACATAGACCAAGAAGCAGTTGTTTGAATGAGGGTCTATTATATGGTTTAAAATCAGGAGGTGTGTGCATCAGGATTGTATCTTTTTACCATACTTATTCCATCTGTAGGTTGAGCAAATAATCTGGAAAGGTAGAATATATGAAGAATATGGGAAGAGGGTTGGAGGAAGAGTAATCAACATAACTTGCTTGCTTAGAGACTTAAAGCACTTAATGAAGAAGATAAGACTATAGCCTTCAGTACAGATTACACTTCAATATAAAAGTACAACTGGCTCAAGAGACAGCATCATAATAAATGGCAAAGAGATTGAAGTGATCAGTTACTTCACTGTCATCAATACCCATGGAAGCAGCAGTCAGGAAACCTGATGGCAGGCATGGGTAAATCAAGGACTTCTTTAAAATATCAGAGAAAAGATGTCACTTGAAGGCATGTCTCACCCAAGCCACAGTATTTCCCATTGCTTCATATTCCAAGGACAATGAATAAGGATGCCCAAAAAACTGATGCCTTTGAATTGTGGTGATAATAAAGAACATTGAATATACCAGGAACTGCCAAATGAACAAACCATTCTGTCTTGGGAAAGGGTAGCCAGAGTGCTCTTTAGAGGCAAAGAAGGTGGAACTGTGTCTCATGTACTTCAGGCCCTGATACAATGCCATTCCTTTGTGACAATAACAAAGCTGGAAACAAAATGACTGACTTTTGTACAATCAATGATTTATTCAGTGTAAAATTAAAAAAAAAAAACCACAAAAAACAAAACACACCACAAATAGTGACAATCACATGGACATCACCTGATGGAATGCAGCACAAGAATCAGACTGACTACATCTGTGTAAAGAATTGTTTGGAGAAGTTCCAGCAGTCAAAACTAGGCCAAGTACTGACAGGAAAAGACTATCAACTAGTCATGTGCAAGTTCAAACTGAAGCTGAAGGAAATGAAAAATCCTAAGAACCAAAACACAACCTGAGTCTATCCCACCTGAATTTTAAAGCCTCTCAAGACCGGGTTTGGGGCATTGAAAACTAATGATCCTTAGTCCAGATGAGCTGTGGGATGACATCAAGGATATCACCCAGGAAAAAAGCAAAAGAGCATTACAAAGACATGGGGGAACAGAAAAAAAGAAAATAATAAAAAAATGCAAGTCAGAAAAGACTCTGAATATTGTACTTGACTGTGAGAAGCCAAAACGAAAGGAAGAACTGAGAAAGTAAAAGTGCCAGATTTCAAAGAACAGCTCAAGATGACAAAAACAAATCATAACAAAATGTGCAAAGGGCTGGAAATCAGAACATAAAGAGGGGCCAGTGCAGCTGGAGTGCTCTTTGGAGGCAAGACTGAGGCTTTGCCTCACATACTTTGGGCATGTTGCTAGGAGGGGCGATTCCTTGGAAAGGGATATAATGCTGGGAAAGGTGAAGAAGGGTCGGTGGAGGATACCTTCAACCAGGTGGACTGGCATGGTGACTGCTTCTCTAGCGTGTCAGGAAGTGTGAAGGCACAAGATAGAACAGGATTCAGAACTTTCGTTCACAGGGTTGCTGAGTCATGCTCGACAACACCTAATGACAATTTCCTGTGGTAATGAACATTCTTCCATGTCATCAGCTTTTTGCACAAATTCCTTTAAAAAAATGCCTATTCTGTCCACTTTTTAATTGGCTTCAATTACTATATGGAGTTGTTTTTATGTACTAGGTGCCAAGTCTCATATTAGACAAATGATTTGTCGTTTTACTTTGTGTAATTTGCAGTAAGTCCTAAGAGATCTTATGGTTATGTATTTTGCTTATTTAATGCAAATCATCTCTATAACATTTTTCATTTTCTTCTCTCCCCCCACACAGAAAATTTTCCGTGCTATGTATGACTACATGGCTGCTGATGCAGATGAAGTGTCTTTTAAAGATGGAGATGCTATTGTGAATGTACAAGCTATTGATGAAGGTTGGATGTATGGCACTGTGCAGAGGACGGGCAGAACAGGCATGCTACCAGCTAACTATGTTGAAGCTATTTAAGTGCTTCAATGCACCTATTTCATCTGTCAGCCTGACCTACAAATCCTGTGGTGAATGATAGCTTAGACTGTCTTATTACCCACATTATGGGCTTTTTTTAGTGTCAATATGACTTTGGATGGTTCCATCCTTGTTTCTATGTGAACCCTAAAAGCAGCAGTAAGGCAATTCACTCTTCCAATTATTAAACCAGACTTACAGTCCTCATTATTTCTGGATTTTCACATAAAACTTAATGAGAACAGTAAATTTGTTATTTTAAAAACTGCCATTATCCTTTGAATTTCCTTTGGGGTTTTAAAAAAAGTTTAATTTCAGAATGAAGTGTTAGTGTTTTGCCAACCTGGTCTTTCTCCATTATGAAAACGTTTAACATTTCTTTACTAAAACAAGGTTTCTGTACAATATAAACACATTAGGGAGGGGAAATGGCAGAGCTTTCCTTGCTTACTGAATGCTGATGATTGTATTTGGATTCCAGTTCTTAAATGATAAAGCTGCTAATGTAAATGAGTGATAAACTGGCAACTAATAAAAGTCTGTAATCCTGCAACAAGTTCCACTACTAGAAGGCGTAATAATTTTTAATGGTTTTTCAGAGCTACAAAATATTTCAATAGTGCAAATTCTTTTCTTAATCTCTATTGCCTTTAAAAGAATTATTCAAACTTTAAAAGGTACTTAAAAATGCACACAAGTAGATCATCTTTAAAACCTTATCCAGACTGTTGAGCAAGCTTGCTTTATGGCTTTTAGAACAGCTGTGGAATCTAATCTGGGCCTGGGCTCCTCCTCGAACGATCTGAAAACCCACTCTGCCTGCGAGTTTCAACTCCAAGGCACTGAGTTTGAGCAGTTTCCCCCATGATCCCAGAGTAGTATGTCCCTTCTAAGCCTGCTTCAAGAGTTTGGAATGACAGTCCACACAGTTTATAGCAAGAGCCATCTTTTGATTTTGCACAAGTTCCATTAAAGAAAAAACACAAGACACTGACAACAAAAGAAACCAAAGGATAAAATACCTGAGCTGTGAAAAGGTAAATGTAAACGACTTCCTAAAAAAAGAGCTTTCCATGTAACACTGAATTGTTACAACATTGCTGCCCCAGGCTTTGAGAATTGCACTATTGATGCCAGGATACACACTTGAAAAACAGCTGACACAGGGGTAGATGTCTAGGTCCAAGTCTCTGTTCACAGAGCACCTTCAGTCTCCTTGTTTCTATCATTAAAATTTTAGGGTAAGCTGGGCAACAATCCCATTGTGCAACTCTAAACCCACCAAAATCATTTTAAAAAAACAGTAATAGATATTTTATGTTTAGTATTTCCTCATCTTACTCTTCCCATTCAAATTATCATATCAGCTTTCTACTTTGTGCAATTGTTGAAAGCAGCTGGGGAAGTCTGCGTGTATCTGCTACCACACAGAATCACAGAGCTGGAAGGTGCAGGGGAACTCAGTGACTCATTTCATTTCAATAAGAAATTCCTGAAAATGTGGTCTGGGGTGACATCCAAGACCAGATCTCTGGATGATGAAATCTCATGACAAATTTATGTTTCATGCCTGTGAAATACATCTTTCACTATTAAGAATGTCATCTTCACTTTCTTGTATCATTTATTTACTTTCTCACTCTGGAATTAGAAATTAATAGAACCTTTTTACAAAACTACACATTAAAGCGGGAACTCTCTATGGCTGAAAAGTAGGCCATAAAGGGAGGAAGAATGTAGATGGCTTACCTAGAAGGATAGTTAATGTTCAATAATGCTGGTATCTGGATTATTTATTTGGGTCTTAATAAAAGGGAACAAAGTAGAAAGCAAGCAAGCAAGCAAATGAAAACAACAAGAAAGGGTGATATTTTATAGCTTTATTTCCAATAAAAGTGCATCATTTTTTAAAAAGGGTTTCAATATCCAGTTGTAATTTTCAAGTGTTAACAGTCAACTCTTAAAGAAAAGTTTTATACTGTGGATCAGACATAGTTTCTCCACCCCTCAACCCAAGCACAATTAATCAGAAAATACTTTATTAGTGTAGAACTACCACCTGAAACACTGTATAATGCATTAATCAAACCAAACTGCACCCTTATTTCCCATCTACTAGTGCAGTTAATGAAAGAATAGATGATTTTGCAAAATTTCAACTTAAATCATTTGACTTATCAAATATAAATATTTTGCTGAGTGTAAAACTAAGCTCTTTGAATTTATCAAGTGATAGGGACAAAAATATTCTAGGTTACTCAATGACTGATTTGGCTCTACCAGTCTTTTTCTAAGTGCATATTGGTCAAGTCTATCCCACAAGAGGTAGTGTTAAAATAGGTTGAAAGCAACTGATAACTCATCAACACAAAAAACAAACACTCCAGAATCCAAACAACTTATTTCCAGGTGTGATTTCATTCATACACCATGTGAGGTGAGGTATCAATAGAGCATAAGTCTTTTCTTCAAACCACCGAAGTTCTCTAATAGGCAAGGTAAACACATAACAATTGTCTCAATTGTAAAATGGGGAGAAGAAGTGTATAAAGAATGCTATTCTCTCCAGGTAAATGTATCTGAACTAAAGTAACAGACATCAATCAGGGGGGCCATTTTATAAAATAAAATCTAAACTAAAAAAAAATTACAAACAAAAAACCTTCTCAACAACCTCAAAGCTACTGAGTCAGAAACTCATAGCTGGCCCTCCACTGGGTTTTCAGAGGGTGTAAATCAACTGTAATAGGAGGAGACTGCCCATCTTTCTCCTTTGGGACCAGGTGGTAAATTCCAACTGCCCATCTTGGTGTTGGTAGTGCAGCTCCTTACCTACTAGAACTCCAGAGCTCCTTAAAATCTATACAGCGGTAACACAGTCAAGGACTGTTATTAAGATCCCACTCTCTACGATGAATTAGAAGCACATAAATCAACACACTGTATATGAACAAAACTATTTTCTACAATAAACATGAAAAAACCACAAATTCATTGCTCTCAAGTTTGAATTAAGTCCCTAGTTGAGCCTACATGTAGTGGGTTTCAGTGGCTGTAGAACACACAGGAAGAGGCTGTCCATTTTCCTCCTGCAGCGCATTTCAACTGTCAAAGGCACCACATTTGGATTAGAACACAGTTCCCTCTGGCCTCCGCCACCACAGCCACATTTAACAGGGATGGCATAAGCATGTTAGACTCTGCAGTTCACAAACTCTGTCAGAGCTCCTTAATCTGCCTCGTAGCATACACAAGTTTCTTTAAAGGATATATGGAATGTTTCAACAGTTTTAATTACAGAAACTTCAATGTTATGTACTCTCATTTGTTAAAGTATTCTTTTGATCCCCCCCGCCCCCCGCCCCATTTAAAAAAACATAAAAACTATTCTTGGCAACATTACTAGGAAAGTTCTTCAGTTTCTATATTCAAATTATTCTACTCTCAATACCATGTTCCTTAACAAAATGCCAATAAATTTTTTTTAAAAAGTTTTATTATATAACAAAAGTTATGTTACAGTCCATTTTCCATTCCAATATTCTTTAATTTTCTAATTATCTAGTTATGTTACCAGTTTAATACAAAAGATGCCTATGTTAATTATTAATAGACAGCTTTTAGTAGCAGAATGATAAATTACTAAGGGGATTTGTTAAAATCAATTATGGTAGTGTTTTATATAGAATTCTTACAAACTGCTGGTTGTCAATTTACGTGTTTTTTTTTTCAGATCTAGATACTTTTGCTTCAACTTAATAGTTTCAGGTAGTGTGAAGGGTTTTATTCTAATTGTATTTTCCAGGAAAATTATCTTCTACAACATGGCACTTCATTATTTATGGTTAATTGTTCTCTTGAGAAGAAAACTTAGACTATAAATGGATGAATGGTTAAGACAATCACACTATAAAACATAATACTCTATTCGAAGAACTGAGTCAAGTCTCATAATTTTGCACTCAAAACTCAAATGACTCAGATTCTCAAAACCTATATACATTAAAACAAAACTATATACATAATGACACATAGCAACAGATGTAGTAGCATTTGCACTACCAGAAACCAAAGCTCAATCTGATGTCCAGATAAAAGAATAAGTTTTGATAAGCCAATTAAAAATATGTCTTCTTAACAAGTAAGTAACTTCTGGCTACATTTGCTCAAGAGCTTTAGATTACACTCTTTGTAATCATAAAAAGGTACTTAAAGGTAAACTCACTTTCGGGGCATCACGTTATTTAACTATTTTTCAAAATCTCAATAAAACCAGGAATTTTCAACCATGTATTAATATATTAACTTGCCAAACAAGTCTTCAATAAAATGATAGGGTTATCTGTTTGTTTGTTTTACTAAGGCATGGCTAAATTTACTATCAAATTCATCTTAGCTGAAATAATACAGCATATTTAAAAAAGAAATTATTCTTCTTGATTTCTTAATATGTTCACAAAGGGGCCAAATTTGATGCTTAGTAATTTTAATCCCAAGATTTTAAGAACTTTCTGTGTTCTTATTTATACACCTGAAATAGTTGGGTTTTTTTCTTTAAGAGACTTGTTTCTCTCTCCATACAGTAATCCTAAAAGCTTAAATCAGAATAGGTTATCAAAACCTAACTTTGAGCTTGAAGCCTTTGGGAGTAGCGTTAAGTCTCACCTATAAAAACTTACAAGAGAGACTTGTTAGAAATGCAAAGATCCCATCCCCTGATCTACTGAATCACAGCCTACATTTCATAAACACATCTAAGTGAGAAGCACAATTGAGTCAAAAGTTCACTCTAACATTTGTATACAAGGACAAGCTTTTCCTAATGGCTTATGGAAAAGGGCCAATAGGAAGGAGTAAAGTCTAATCTAAGCCTATTAATAATGTCAATATTGGCTATTTAATGGTCTCCTTGCCTGGCTCACAAATTTATATTCTTAAAGATCAATTCTGAAAAGTGTGACATGTAATCTAGGCTTCTCACTGATTTACAAAGTCAAAACTGAAAGAAATTAAGGGAAAACACACATTTTATGCTCATTTGTACTTTCTCACGTTTCAACTATGTCAGTTTTAAACTAGACCTTTATTTTCATTCTATATATTTAAAACCACACATACACTCTACCTGCCTATTCCTTCCACACTCCCAAATGTTTTTACATTGCCTCTTTTAAGTGTGATTGAGTTGGAATTTCCTGATATTTTTCTAATTCTTCTTAGATACCCAGCAGTAAATATTAATACTTTCAAGCTATACAGAGAGAAAAGGCCAAAGCTGTCCACAGGAACCTGAGGAACTGCCACACTTTTAAAGTTAAGATTTAAATACCATTATATTATCCGGTAACATTATTACTTAGTACACCTTTATAATAAGAAATTAAAATTGCAAAGCATTTAATTGTGGTTTTAAAACATGTCTAAACAGCAGAAAACTTTTAGCAATACTTTAGCAAATCTTAATACTGAAACTATTATGAAATAAAAACACATTTCATAGAAATGAAAAACTATATTGTACTCATGCATTTCACAACATTTTGGAAAAATGCATAAAATATTTTAAAAATCACATTTGAATTTCCATGTGTACATTCATCATATTTGCCATTATTCATTAGAAAAGATTTAAAGACTTGATTTCCTTCTAATGGTGTGATACCACAACACTGGAACTGATCAAGGAATATTAACACTATTTTTTCTATTCAAGAAAAGATTTGCAGAAATATATATGTCAAGAGTTTAGAAACTAAGACATTTAAAATACATTAAGACCAGAGCAAGAATAATACAAACTGGATCTCTCCTCCAAAAAATATGAGTTATTAATTGTGCACATAACAAATTCAATGATTTAGGTACATGGTAATCATTTTGGTCACATGGGTGCCAGTCTGTTTAACAGCTCCCCCACAACTTCATCCCACTGCTGAACAGTCTTAATTTATACAACACAAGACAGGTAGTCATGAAACCAACTCATTCAGACTACAAACTTGTTATTATAGCATTCTGCTCCCTACTCCAAACACACCACCTGTAATTAATCTTACTCACATCTGTTTACTAAACACTCAACTACCACTTTACTGTCAAATATAATTTGGGAAATAAATTATAAACAATATAAACCTCAACTATACTTCTGTTAAAAATTCATCTCTCATTAGGCATTTCTTCAAGTTACAATATTTGGCCCAATGGTCCCCAAAGGTCTAAAACCATCCACTTCCTTTGTATATGAATATAATGAGTATTCAGACTCATTTCAAATCAGAAATGATGAATTAGTAATGATTAAAAGACAAGGACTTCTCAAGTAGGTGGATAACAGTCCCTTTCGAACCTAGGTGTGCTAAGTATACACAAGGAACGATCTGTAACTTTGGTATCCCTGGTACTGTATGGAATCTAACCAAATAAGTAACTTGCTAATGAATATGTGCTTTTCAATTAGGAATAGACCTTGAATAACTATTCATTTACTCTATTAAAGAGAATATACGAAAAATATTTTCACTATTAAAAGGACGAAACAAATATGGGAAACCAGGCACTAAAGCTAGTTGATAACATTACAAGTGTTTTAATATCATACACCCTTACTTTTAAAACAAATTAAAAATACATTTAGAAAAAAGAACATTTTCAAATTCCTCCCAAGAAACTGCTTTTAGGTATAGGTGAAAAGGGTAGACAAAACTCTACTTTTTAATAATCTAAGGTGCAAAGAAGATATTTAATTTACCATTAAGAAGAAATGTAATGAGGCACTCTTTCTAATGGCTACTCCCCTCTTCTAAACAGTAAGCTGCAAGGGTATCACAGCCAAGCTATCATAAAGAACATTTTCTTCTTTCTATAGTTTTACATATTGAAATGACTTTAGATAATAAACTCACATTTTAATTGAGTATTAACTAAGTACTAGATTATTTGTTGTTTCATTTGGAGAATGGAGATACAGAAATCTACAAATTCTTGCAGCAAGCCCTGAAGCCCTTATTCTGTCCATATCATTATTTCAGTAGTTAGTATATATACAATGTCGCTATTGACAAAAACCAAGGTATTCACAAGAAGCTGCAGAAGACTCATGCAATGAATGAAAGCAGAACCTTATAAATTAAAAATATTATCATCTATACATAATATACAAACAGTCATGCATTTAACATGAGTAAATGTTCACAGGCAAATGCTGGTGCAATTATTTGAGAAATGAACAAAACCCTTGTAAATTCTGCCTTAATATTTTAATTCCAAAAGTTAAGCTTTTTGGCATGTTTCTTGAATGTTATGAAAACCAAGCTAATACCTGTGAAAAACATTTCAACTCGAACTCTCATTTGAAGTGTTTTACCCAGAAAATTTTTCTTAAGCTTCAAGTACAATAAACATGAACAGAAAAAATGCATGAGCATCTTTCCTAAGTTCACCAAAAAAACCGGAAATAAAATTTTTCAATAAATGTTTAATATCAGAGTTTAAGAAGTCCAAAATATGATGGTTTTGTTTCCAGCTTTTACCACATCTCTAAGTTTCTTGAAAAACTATGCACAGCAGCCAATAGAATACTTTGTAACAAATTTTAAAAATTGAACTTACATGAGTCACTACTGCTCTCAGGGTTTGAAATAGTTCTTTCTGGCTTTACAAACAATTCCATTTCTTCTTTCTGAAACCTTGCTGTATTTCAGAACTTGTTTTATTAGTCAATAAACCCAGCAATGTTCAAAGAGCAATTTTTCCTTAAAATACTAGATAGACTCTTCAGGGATCAGTGACCGCCAACGCGACTGCAGGTTTTTTATTATAGAGTTCGCCATACTACCAAGTTTCTCGTGCATTTCAAATAGTTGGCTTCCTGAATAATTATGTAGATCTTCTGAATTTAGCTGAAGAGCAAGTGCACTTATCTGTGCCACAAGATTTTTGGATAATGGAGAGTCTAAAGAAACTGGATCAATCAAATCTGAAAGAAAAAAGAACAATTAAATCTATAAAAAACAAAAATTAATGTATCTATTCTAAATCTACAAATTTTATGTTAGGCTAAAACCACTGTGTGAAAGATTTTCATTATTTACACTACTGACAGTGGGAAGAAAAGCACTGCTCTTGTATTATACAACACTGTGTGTGAAAAATTAAATCTCAAGGATAAGCTAAAAAACTCCTATGTGCCTGATGGAAACTTGAGACAAAAAACTCTTCCAGAACAAGCTTTATGGTGGTGGTGTTTATCGTAAAGTCAGAACTGACTCATAGCTGAGCCTCCAATGGGTTTTCAGAGGCAGTTAATCGCACAAGAGGAGATTATCCATTTTGGGGTGCAGCTGGTACATTTGAAACATGTACCTTCGGGCTGGCAGCACAAACCCTCATCACTATGCCACCAGGGTTGTTAGCTTAGCTTACTTACTTGGTGACATTTTAAAAAACTGACCTACCTAACAACAGAAGCGGAACAGAGTATAGCTTAGTTTTTATGTGAAAAATATAATAAAACAGAAGGTAATAAGTACAGAAAAACAAGTAGATACATTTAAGGTAAAATTATTTTTTCACACAATCGATCAAAAAAAGTTTGACTTGTTAAGGCATAATAATTCAAATAAACATAAAACTATATTTTTAAAAACTCTCAAATTAACATAAAAACTATTTTTGAGAAACCCTGGTCCTTCAGGTATATGTTAGCTAAGCTTATAAATAAATCTTTCTAAGACATACCTGAGGCAAATTTTTCTTCTTCAGAAGAGGGAGATTTACTTTCTATTCCATTTAAAGTTTTTTCTGAAATATCAAAAACTGGAATCTCTTCTAATCCACGAGACTTCATCTTAATCACACACATAGTTAAGTGAAAAGCATGAAGAAAGAGTAAGATTAATGTTAAAAATATGGCTATATTAACACTGGACAAGATTTTGTCATTATGTTCCACTGAGCATCTCAAGGACAATCCTTTAGGTAATTAAGACACAAGTGTATTAACAAAGATGTACTTTTCAAAGAAACTACTAGAATTTGTCACTATTTTCTATTGGATTTCTCTGCAAACACACAGAATCTGAGAAAAATTATGTCCAAGACATAGGAAAGGAAAATCTAAATCAAGTGAGTTTCATTTAACCATTCATGCACATTTTGTTGTCCCTCTTCTGACAATATATGTCTAGTTATTTCAGATATTTTGACAAATTTTCTCAAGAACCAGTGACTGACAAAACATGTCAGAAGTATACCGTTTGGACCATGAGACTAAAAACTAGAGTTGGTCGTAGGAGTGTGGTTTTTGTTTGTTGTGTTTTGGTTTTTTCAAACAAGTAATGGCTTTATTTAACAAATATTGACCACACACACACAAAGATACAAAATTAAGAGCTTCCAAACACTTCGAAAAGGCTTCAAAATTGGCAATTTTTAGTTTGAGAAATTCCAATATAGAATACGGGCTTTCATTCTTTAACACATCTTAACTTTTATTCATGAATTTTCATAGAGTCAAGGAATACAGTCCTTCTGAATGGGTTGTCGGTTTTGGTTAGAGGCCGTCTAAAATAAGACTCATCCTATGAATAACAGATCTGAACCCTGTCTGACCCTGTGTTATCCTCATTATCTGATACACTTGAGCACACTGCTGTAGTCACCATGTCAATTCATCTCATTTTGCTGACCCTCCCTCCCACTTTTCTTTCCAAGTACGAATGGGTTACTGTAATCCTTATTATAAATAAAAAGAGATTAGACTTTCATCACTATCTTAAAACAATTCATATCTGTGTACCAAAAAAAATGACAGGAAGAGAATAAAAATGGTACTAGATAGTAAAATAAAAATATGGTGACCTAACGACAAATGCTTTTGGTAGATACCTAGATTTCAAACATTATGGTTTTAGGAATGTTATGTGCCACTGAGTCATCAGCGACACAGAGTGACACTATGTACAATAGCCCTAAACCCTGCTCTATCCTGTGCCCATCTCAACTGTTTCCGACAAACCTACTCCAATGACCCCAGTCACTGACTCAATCCACCTCACAGAGGGTCGTCTTCTCCTGTGCTGTCCCCCACCCTCCCAAGCAGGATGTCCCTCTCCAAAGAGCAGTCAAATTATCAACATTAATTGACAGAAATGAAAGGGTCAAGAAGAGTAAAAGGAAAGGATGTAAAGAATGAGACAAATGGTTTATAATTGTAAAATAGTTTATAAGCGGTTTAAAATTATTATCGTCACTGATTATTTTACCTGCTGTTCATGATATATTCTGAGGGCCTTTTTTACATTGGATACTTTTGGAGAACGGATGGGAAGAGTTTTTATTTCAGATGCTGTAAGAGTACTCAAATCACCAATTGTTTTTATATTCTTGGCTCTAATGAGTTGTCCTAGTCCTCTTGCCCTTAAAAGAATGAGCAAAAAAAAAGAGAAAATATTATGATAATAGAGTTTTATTTAAACTTTTATTTGTGTGGGCTTATCTGATTTGAACTTCCTTACTAAAGCTCAATCATTACTGAATTTTATTTATATATGTCAACCTAAGACTGCACTTGGGACAGGCAAATGTATATACTTAACCAAGTTTCAATTTTAGTATCTTTGCCTTGCTAGCTGCTTTTCAACTGGGAGTACAAATTATACAATGGATCATTCTACTTCGGTCCTGTAAACTAGCAATGAAATAAAGTAAGAGTTTAGGATTAAGGTTACAGATTTCTAGGGTCAGATTGCTTGGTTACAAAGAGCAGTGTCTCATGGCTAGTGTAATTTATTGCTTATTAACTGTGTGGCTTCTGTGGACTGACCTTTGTAAATATCATTTTATAATTTCATTGCTGTTAAGTTGGAACCAACTCAGCTGACCCTCCAGTAGGTCTCTGAAGCTGTAAATGGCAGAGAAGGGCACTTCCCATTTTCTCCCACAGAGAACCTGGGGGGACATGAACTGCTAGAGAGGGACCACCTTTGGGTAACTGCAACTCCCAGATAACTTCACCACAGTGCCCTTCATTTTACAAAGCAGCATAATTAAACTCCTTTCAGGATAAAAAAGTATGTGTGAAGAGCTCAGCACAGCACCTGATAAATAGTAAGCCACAACAGCCTCAAACAAAAACAAAATGAGGACAGGGTACAAATTGAGAGAACCATTAACTATACAAGTACTTCTCCTTAACAAGGGACATCTCACAGTGTAAACTGAAAATTAAAGAGCCACTTACCACATGTTTGATGTAATCTGAGGTAAAATGATATCCACTGGTGCAACACAGTTCACCAAAGCTGGGTAGACACTTTCTGTTGGGCTTGACACAGACTCTTTGGCCATTTCTGCAATCTTAGAATACATTTGGCAAAATTGTTAAGCAGAGACTATCTGACTGAAAATGAAAATATAAAGTTACAGGAAAACTAAAGCACTTCTTACTAAACACTTCTTTGAGCTCTTAAATTTAGGGCTACGTGATCCTGGGGACAGAAATCCTTTGGCTGAAGTGGTATTATGCTAGACAAGAGAGAAAAAAGACTCACTCAGAACCCTAGGTAACTATAATTTTACAACTTAATGTTCACAGATTGTAAAATTTCTTAACAAGTATTAAGAATGGAATAAACTACTGCCTTATCTACTACTTGCTGCATTATCAACTCTTAATTACCCTTCTTATCTGCTTACCATGCAGCAAAGACAATATATCTAAACCAAAGACATTGTGTTTCTTGGTTCATTTTAAGATTCATTTTAATCACTCATGTATAACGATATGTAACTCTATACAGGTATGTACATTTTTAAAGCTATAGCTTACCTTAGATTGTGCAGTAGGTGAAGTTTTAACACTTTTTAATAGTACAGGAGAACTACTTGAAGAAGAATGGGGTCTAACAATGGAGCATCGTCTGTCAATGTCATCTGCCAGTCCTGCTTGGTATATTGGATCTGCAAAGGAGACACGGCGAACCTAAAAACAGAATTGAGCTTTTAATTTTAAATAAATAAATAAAAATTGAAAACCTCGTAAACACCCCCCCCCAAGATTCTCACTATGAAAATAACAGAATTGGAGCGAGAGGGCGAGGTGGGGGTACCACTGGTCTCCCCGGGAGGCAGCTGGAGCCCGACTCACCAGTAGCCACCCCCTTCTTCTTGTTCTATCCTGGAGATGGAGGCGCTGGCTTCACAGTGCACCCATGGCCACAGAGCACCTGGAAGACCCCGCCGTTGCCCGGCGCCCTGCTGCCCTTCCTGCTGCTGAGCTACCTGACCAGCGGCGGCACGCACCATCCCAACTATCTTTTGGCTAACAAACGCATGAACCTAATGAACATGGCCAAGCTGAGTATCAAGGACTTAAGAGAATCAGCTCTCAACCTGGGGTGGACTTTGGACTCTGACTATGCTCCTCTCCAGCAATTCTTTGTGGTGATGGAACACTATTGAAGGGCAAGAAAACATTTCTTGGACAAAATAAATCCTTCTGGGGACCTCTAGAACTAGTAGTAAAGCTTGTTCCAGAAGCTGCAGAAATAACAGCATTAAAGATCTTCCAGGACTTAAGACACCAGTAGGCAGAGGAAGAGCCTGGTTTCGTTTGGCATTAATGCAAAAGAAACTCTCAAAATATATGAAAGCTTTTATCAATAAGAAGGAGCTCCTCAGTGACTTTTATGAACTAATGTCCTCATGATGGAAGAAGGAGGAGATATAATTGCTGGTCTGTTGGTAGGACTAAATGTCATTGATGCCAACTTCTGTATGAAAGGAGAAGATTTGGACTCTCAGGTTGGAGTTATAATTTTTCGATGTATCTCAAGGATGGGAACAGCAATAAAGGTAGTGAAGGAGATGGTCAAATCATTGCAATACTAGACCAAAAGAACTATGCAGAAGAGCTCAACAGACATCTGAATGCTACTATAAACAACCTTCAGGCAAAAGTGGATGCATTAGAAAAATCTAACACAAAACTGACAGAGGAGCTTGCAGTTGCAAACAGGATTATTACCTTGCAAGAGGAGATGGAACAAGCTAAAGAGGAAAGCTCCTGTATACTGGAATCCAATCCAAAGGGTCCAAAGTATGGTAAAACTTCAGGAGGGCAAGCACTAAGTGAAGCAAGAAAGCATCTAAAGGAAGTGACACAATTATGATGCTGCTGAAAAAGAGCTGGAAATACAGATCGGGATGAGAAAGGAGATGGGATTGGCCATGAAGATGCTGGAGAAGGGTATCTATGAGAAGCAAGATGCCCTGGTATCTCTACGGCAGCAGCTAGATGATCTCAGGGCTCTCAAGCATGAACCTGCCTTTAAGTAACAGAGTTCAGATTTAGGGGCAAACAGAAAAGTGAACTAAACAGTTGCTGGGAGGAGAAAACTAATTAAATGGCTGCTACAGTTAAACAACTGGAACAAAGACTGAGCCATGCTGAGCGAGGCCACCAGTCTCTGAGTTGGACTACCGGCTCTTCAAGCAGGACTTTGGAGACAAGATCAACAGTCTGCAGCTGGAAGTAGAGGAGCTCACCAGGCAGTGAAATCAGCTTGAGTTAGAACTAAAACTGAAAAGAGAAAGATGGTTACAGAACAAGAGCATCCCTGGAAAGGGTTCACAGAAGATAGAACCTAAAATGGATGGAAAACAGAGTTCAAGAAGAAATATTAATTAAAAAAAAGTCCCTGGAGGAAAGCCACAGATTGCAGCTTCACCCTGTAGATCCACAGGATCAACTTCTGTTTTCTGGAAGGCCTCAGGTGTGTCAGCTATGCCAGGAAGTTAATGGCAACATAAAAAAGAATATATGCAAGAACTGCAAAGGAACTTTCTGCAATGCCTGTTCAACAAATGAACTGGCTCTTCTATCAAGTATCAAGCCGGAACAAGTTTGCAACCCCTGCCACAAACATCTTATGAAACAGTATTCCACCACCCTTCATAAGACAGGAGGCCAGGGCCTACCTGGACCAGGATTTCCATGCACGGCTAGTCTCTGCCTGTGCTAGATGACAGCATCCCTTCAGCTCTAGTCCTTAAGAGTCAACTAAAAAGTTGTTAAGACACCAGATCCAGGGAGAAAAAGCAGTAGTTGGAGAAGCTGGGAATTTTGCCCATTAGAAAATAACAGAATTAAAGTTTCGGAGCCTCCTCCACAATACAAGCTACCAAATGAATCAACTATTCCTTCCAAATAACTGCTTTTACAGTTAATATTGTTCAACATCTTAACTCATTCCAAATCTTTCTTCTAAACCATCACTGCAAAATACAGCTCCAAAAAAATTAGAAATATGGGACAGTAGTAGAAACTTAAGTGAAGCAGCTTATGGCAGACAAAATTGTTATATTTAATGTCCCAAAAAAGAGAAGTGAGAGGAATAGTACCAGTCCCTGGTGTATTGCATTTCGGCTTTAAACTCTTTGAGGAAACCAAGAGAGAGCCAAAGCAAATTTTGTCTTTTGTGGGTGAAAAAATGGTTAAGGAGTTGTGCTGCCAATCCAAAGGCAGATGTTTTGAACCCACTAGTTAGCTACGGGAGAAAGAAAAACCATCTCCTCCCATGCAATTTGCTCTCTAGAAACCCACTGGAAGGTGAGCTATGAATTAGTTCTGACCCAAAAGCAAGAGTTGAGTCTGAGCTGATGGGACAGTTAACCCAATGCAACTAACTTGGTACAAATACAGAAGAAAATCTCTTTATTCTGTTAAATGAGAAGCCAAGGTCCCTGTGTCACACTGATGGTCTGTAATCAGCTGAAAACCCAGTTTGCCAGTTTGAACCCAGTTAGCTAGCTGTACTAGGAAAGAACCAAACCCACAGATTTTCCTGTAAAGAGTGCAACCAACCATAATTTGTACTCACTGTGTTTGTCCAAATGAATACAATACAACCAAATGCATGCCTAAGACCAACTTTTAAATAAGGTCAGGCTGCTACACTAAAAATCAGCAGTGCGAATTCACTAACTGCTCCAAGATAAAAAGACGGTCTCTTCCCTTCAAGATTTACACCCTCAAAAACCTGATGGAAGACCACCATGAGTTATCATTAAATACCTATTTATATAAGTTCTCCTCTCCTTACCTCCAAAAGAGGTAGATTTACATAACTGCTATTAAAAAAACTGTAGTCTGCTACTTGTTGCTCAACATTAAATGAGATACTACCAAAGAAAGATCCGCTTACAGCTTGGGTGGGAAGCCTCTGTGTGGGCAAACAGGATGTAGTGGGCAGGCCTTGGTATTTAAAATTTGGTGGAGCTACTGATTCTGTTTGGTGGAGCTCTCTGATTAAAACAAACTAAAAAGAAGGATGGGCCATCTACTTCCTAAATAAAAGGCTTTTGAAAACCCTAAGAACACTAAACAAAGAGGATAGTTACAGTAATGTAATGGTAGATCCCAGAATGGAAGTTAACTGAAAAGAGGAAAGCAGTAACAAACAACATTTAACAACTGGTACATGGAATGTTTGTAGCTTGAATGTTAGAAAATTGGATATTGTTAAAATCACAGAAAAAAAGATAAGCTGTGGTGTTGGAGAAGAGCACTGAACATTCCTCAGATGGCCAAGAAAACAGGTGTGTCTTGCAAGAGGGTGCAGCCAGAGTGCTGTCTGGAGGCAAGAATGATGACGCTTCACCTAACATACTTTGGACATATTGCTAGGAGATGCTATTCCTTGGAGAGGGACATGGTTTTGGGAAGGGTGGAGGGTTGGCGAAGGAGAGGAAGGCCCTCAACCAGGTGGACTGACAAAGTGACTGCTGCAACGGGTTCTTGTGTAAGGAAGTGTGAGGATGGCACAAGTTGTACCAGCTGATAGTCAACAGAAGGATTGATCAACTCTTTAGCATTAAGCACCCCTAGCTTTAGCTTAGTGTCCTAAAATAAAGATACATGCATCTAGCCCCAGCTCTACACAATCTTTTTTCTCATTCCCTCCATTTTATGTCTTTTAATCTTGGCTGGTATGGCTAAGAATAAAAATTATCATTCACTAGGTATTATGCAAAAATATCCCAAATTAAACACTCAGTGTTTGGCCTCACAGTCTCTCCTACCTTGTTAACAGGTGATGGGATCTCATCTTCCTGGGGTCTTTTCTGTCCTCTCTTTAAAATGCTGGTGGATGGAGAAGCCAAAGGAGACCAGACATGTAAAGCATGCAGGCCACTAGGACTGTCATTAGCTGACAAAAGGCAAGGATCAAGTTCCCTCAGTTTTTGAGGAGACAAATTGTCTGCTGCCATCAGTTCAGAGACAGTGGTTCCAGATGTTAGAGACTGTGGTGATTCTATTTTGTCTGAAGTATGGTAAGGCTCCTCTAAAATTTCATTATGATTGTCTATAATCATCTGATTGTCATCTAATTTTGTTTCTTCAGATTTATTAAGTTCTGTATTTGTTTCAGTTTTATCAGAGTCAATTTGTCTTTCTTCAGTGTTCACTTCAAGTTTATCAAAAACAGAGTCATCAATTTCTACATTCAACTTCTTTGTTTCAGTTTCTTCTGGCTCAAATGTTTTGGTAATTATATTCTCAGCCTCTGTGTGATTCAAACTATTAGTGTCATCATTTACTTCTTCAACTCTGGCTTCTTCACAGTGTTCCACTTCAGCATTCACAGTTTCAGGTGAATGTGCATCAGATTTATCACTTCCTCCATCTGGTTCCCTAACTGTTATTGGTTCAGAAATCTCCATTTGAACACTTTCTTGTAGAGGTAGCATAGCATTACAAGGGCTAGGTTCTGAATGAAGTTCCTCAGTTGTCAATTTAGCATTCAGTTCTTCAGCTGTATTGGCTGATTCTTTGTGCCCTTCTTTCTTTTCTGTTGTCTCTTCTTCAGAAACTACAGTTTTGGCATTCTCTTGTTCAGAGGGGGTACTTTCAAATTTACTACTTTCTCGCTCCAATTCCATAACCTCCACTTCCTCTAGATTGGATTCTTTTATTCTACATGCATTTGCAGCAACATTAATGTTCTCTAGACTTGGTTCCTTTGTTGTAGCTTCTGGGTCTTCTTTCATCTCCAAAAGAGAATTTGCCTGTGAAACATCTTTAGAATCACCTAAATCTAAATCTGGACCAACTGTCTGAAAATTTTTATCACATGATTCTTGACTCTCAAGAGTAACTTCTTGGCTGGAATCCATGCCATGAGTTTCTTTGTTAAAATGGGTCATTTCAGAATGAAGTGATTCTTGGGTAGTGTTTTCTTTTAATTCTGTTTCTGATACAATTAATGAATCATTACAAGTATCACTCTCCAACTTGAGACCCAAATTAAAACTGACACTATGGTATTTATCGGAAAGTTTTCCTTCTGAATGCTGATCAACTTTAGACGTTTCTGGTATCGTTACTGTTGTTTGTAAATCTGTCTTTTTTGTTTCCATGATCTTTAAATTAGAATTTTCCATGGTTTTTAACCCAATGGATGGCTTTTCCTGAGGCTGTGATTTTTCTCCACAGCACTCACAGCCTTTGGATCTTCTTACTCTTTTACTTCTCTTGTGCTGGCATTCAGGTGTCTGTACAGGTTTTTCAGAAGCCAATGACATGTCTGGTGTCCCTGCACTTGAGGATTCCTCTGCAGTGTTACTTTCTGAAGAATCTCGCTTATGCATTCTTTTATTAGCATTTCTAGTTCTTAGATTTGATTCCACCACAGGTGGACTTGAAATGGAATATTCTGGGCATCTGTTAGTTTTACTTTTTCCCTCATGTGTATCTGGAACATCAGAAACTTCTAACAAATCTGAAGATACTCTAGAATCCTGAGGCATTACAATAGTTTCCTCTTTTTGATCAAAAGTCTTAGAAGACAAGTCTACTTCAGAACTTGTTTTACCGTCATGAGGGAGACTGTCAACTCTTACACATTCCTCTTTGACTACTTTCTCTTCCTGCTGTTCAGTGTCACTGCTTGTGTTTTTCCATTTTGCAGATCTCTTCTTTTTAGAACCTTCTTCTTTTACCTCAGAACTATCAGATTCTGAGTTCTCAATACTGGAAAGCAAACCCTGGGATGCTCTTCTTGTCTGGTATCGTGTTCGTCCCCGTACTGGTTTCTCAGAGCACTTGTCTGCAATATCCTGGACACCATCTTCCTCAATCTTCATATTCTCAAGATCTGGTTTTCTCTCATTTTGGTCCATTTCAGTGTTAGTACTAGTTTCCCCAGAAGTTTTCTCAGGTAAACTATTTCCATTTTCAATTACATTTTCTTGTGCCGTTTTTTCTGTAACCAGTTGACGCTTTGATAATGCATCATCTTTTGCATGCAACGGACTCTTTTGTAGAACTTTTTCTTCCTCTTTCCGTCTTTCTTTTTTTTGGTGATTATTTTCCTTATCTTGGCTATCAGAGGTAGATTCTGCTATATCGGAGCGTCGTCTTAAAGACCTTCTAAGGGTTTTCTGGCCTGAAGTGGCTGAAGTCTGACTATCCTCATTTACTATTTGATCTGCTGGTATTACTGCTGGGGGGGTGTTTTCCTTGGATTCTAAATTAACCCCTAAACTTTTCTCTTCTATACTGTTTTCCAATACTACAGTATTTCCTACTGGTTGTTTATGTTTAGTATCTTCACATTCCATTGTAGATTCAGAAAGACAAGTTTGATTATCTGAGACACAGTCTGTTTGATTAAGCATACCAGATGAGTTACTTTCTAAGGCCACAACGCCATCAACTGATTCTGAAGTCTTTTTCTCCTGTTCTGATCTCAGGAAAGGCTTAGATCTTTTATTCCCTGTTTGCTCAGCTTTACTCGCTCTTCTACCTGACCTCTTAAGCCCATTGACTGCTTTTTCAGACTCAGATTTTGAGACAGTCACTTCTCCTTTCTTTGTTTTAGGTGGGATATCTGCTTTAGTTTTATTCTCTGGGTTATTTTTCACAGAAATGGTTGATGACACAGAGTTTAAAGGAGAAGGACTAAACGGCCGATTTTCTGAACCATCAAATTTTTCCAAGGTAATAAAAGTTTGCCGTCGGCTTGTTGGCTGTGAAGGAGCTCCAGAAAGAGTGGCACTAGAAACTGAGCTACTGCTGACAGCAACATGGTGTTCTGTAGTAGATGCACGTTCAGTTGATATTTTCTTTGATGAAATGAAGTGTTTTTTCCTGGCATCATTATCACGGCTCTGTGGTAATTCTGGATTGGTTTCCTCAACAGAATCACATTCCTTATTTGAAAGGGAAGCATTTTCAAGATGCTCATCTACACGGGAGTTTTCTGTGGTATCTTGAAAAGCCGTGATGTCTTTCTTTGTGTGCTCTGCCTACAAAGAAAGAGACAGCAAGTAAATAAATCCAACTTTGTAGGGAAATTCTAACTTTAAATATTAATTCAAAAGACAATCAATGACTTTTAACATAGTGCAAACACTCTAACAGTGGATACTAATTTACTTTAATTGAAAATATTATAATAAACCCCAAAATACTCAATAAACTGTTCTGCTAAATTCCACTGTTGAGAATTAATAGAATGTACAATAATCTAAATAGTGGTAAAATGAGTATCAACAAACTTCCTAGAGTTTAAGCTTCATTACGGAAGGGAAGGGTAGTTATAAAAAAAACCCCAAGTACAAAGTATACCTTAATCTTTTTATCTGAATCTTTCTTTGGTTCTTTTTCTGCAGAAATAGGAACTTCCCTGAAAGAAATCATTGTATAACTTATTACACTGTCTTTAATTACCACAAAACCCATTATGAAAAGTTCCACGGCTTCTCTACTTACATAGACTCTTCCTGGCTATAATGAGAAAAGATGGTATCCTGTGAAACATCCAGGTTATTATACATGGCAGGAATATCACCCCTGGAAAAGATAAGTATAAGTAACTTCAAATTCTTCAAATGACAATTTCTACATTAGCCATCAAATTTATAATTTCCCTTTTTGAAAAGTAATAAAAAATTAAGACTTAACTATTTGTCAAAGGAATTCTATTTAGAAATATTTGGTAGAACAGTACGTAGCTTTACACAACATCATATAGTTAAGGGTGCTTTATCTTTGGTATCCAAAACACCTTAGTCCTAAGCACAAAGTTAGATGCATGAAATCAAAGTATGATACATTCAATTAGAAATAATAGGCCTCTGAACCTCTTTGTTTTGAGTACTTCTTTCTGATGTTCAGTTAGTATTCTTTCCTTTGTTTCTTTTCCTTCTGGAGGTATGAACACAAAGTCAGTGGACTTTTCTTCTTCCAAAAGAATTTCTTTCTTTAGTTTTGTGGATAATGATTCCAATTTCATCTGTAGGTGAAGAAAAAATACATCTGAGCTTCCAAATTATTTTCTTATACTTCAATTTATCTTCTAGCAATTTATTTTTCAATAGCAACATGGATATTTTAATTGTAAGAAACCTATATGATAGACCATTATTATCAAGAAACAGTGTATATTACACCTCAGTTTTCTTATAGGTTCAAAAAATAATCAGAAAACAGACAAAAGTTTAAAAAAGCAAGCAAGTCTATGCTTGCTAGAATACATGGGCATTTTTTTTTGAGGTCAACACAAATAAATCAACTGAATTAGTCTGGGAAGAAGAGAGGATATATATAGCTTGAGAAAGAAAGGTCTAGTAATCTACTTCCAAGGATCAGATAATGAAATCCTTTTGGATTGTAATTGACTATTATTCATTAAAACTTTCCAAGATTAGTCCCTTTGGCTGCAAAATGGCCTCAAATATACCAATGATGAATACTGTACAGGGCTAGGATTTTGTTCTGTACATGGAAACAATATGAATCAGAGCCAATTTGATGGCAATTAACATTGCTGTCACAAAATATTAACCAATAACTAGCAAGATACTTAATCTCAGATTGAGGTTTAAGTAGTTCTTTTACAGAGACATTATTTTTCTTTCTATTCTTAAGTTTTAAAATGTTTCTCCTTTGTTGCCACCTGTTAGATACTCGCACCTCTTCTCTTTCTACCTGAAGGTACTGCTGCCAATAGTAATTATATTTAAATTATGCTACAGATAATTCTTCTGTAACCCCTTCATCCCTCAAGATGTCTGGATTTCTGTGCTGATAGTAAAGTAACTCTTTGTAGATCAAGTTCCCCTGTAATCCCATGTTTTAGTCTTTTAATATATTTTTTTCTTCCAATTAAAAGTTACATGCTATCTAGTAATAAGATAAAAATTCTAACAAAAACAATTAAAAAACAAAACAAAACAAAACAAACAAGCATACTTTGGTTGGTGTTTTCATTTCTTTTGTATCCTTTTTCTGTGCCAAAAGTGAATCTCTTTTTCCATTTGATTTTATTTCCATGCCACTTATCTTCACATTTAACTGTGAATTTTCTATCTATTTTATAAATATATAAAAGAGAGAACGTTTCAGTAAGTGTAGCAATTTTTCTATTATTTCAATAAACACATACTTCAAATCATATAAAATTTCATGTATTTATTAAAATTGTGTCAAACACAGGCCAACTATTTCAACAGCTGATTGAATATAATGGAAATCTCTCTGGGAGAATATCAGAAATATAAACATGCAAACGTCAAATTTTAAAAGCATGAGAGACAGAATACTGATGTAGCAGCACATTTTCCTTCAAAATAGGACTGTATGACTTTTGCAGGACAAGTAAAAACATACATTTGTGTCTAGATTATCAAAAGAATTTTTAATACCAAAATATAACTACATGGTTATTCTTTACAAATTCACACTGTCATTCTTTACAAGTCTTAAACAACAGTTTTACTCATCTGTTACTTAAAAAGTTTTCTACCAAAAAAAAAAGTTTTCTACGCATACTTCACTTCCTGGATAAATCTTCAGATATTAATTGGCCATATTGAGATATAAACATGGTCCTATTTTTTTCTGACAGAACAACAAATTCAATGGAAAGATATAAGACAATAAAAGATAGCATCTGCTAATCTACAGACAGACTGATTAAAGTAACTCACTGTAATTGACTCATAGTTGATGCACAGGAGGTTTTCAGTTGTATAAGAGATGATTGATCTTTCTCCTGCAGTTGGTGTATGCCAATCATCTACCATTGGGTCAGCAATACAACACCCTATCCATTAGGACATCAAAGGTCTCTTACAAATGCAGAACTAAGTATTATTTCTAGCTTACCTAACATGTAACCAAGATTTTCAACAAATGTAACCTCTGTCAATACATGAGGTACAATAGTAGGGGGTGAAAAAGATTCCCTTACAAGAATCAGAGATTATTACAGTAATCTCTGTGAAAATGATTACTTTTTATTCTGAAAAACAGTTTAGTCTAGACGATCAAAGACAATTAAGTAGTTTTATGGCCTTGACTGTTGTTTAGATATATTTTGTGTTATAAAGATCTTCTGCCTAGATTTTACTTGTCAATTCATTAGAACATTCAACCCAAATTTTGTCCTCACATTACTTAAGAAAAAAACAATAAAAACCCCAACAAACCCCAAAACACAAGACAAACAACGTCCAGAAGAAAACATACTGTATCTGAATATGGCCCACTCGATTCTTCCATAGTTCCAACATTTTCCAAACCAGGCAACAAAAGTAGACATTTTTGCTTAGCTTCTCTTAGTATGGGTCTTCAAAAAAATGATACACACATTTTAGTCAAGTAAATATCGGTGAGTAATAAATCATATATAAAAATGCTTAATTACTGCTAAATTTGTTTAAAAGTAAAATATATGTGGCTTAGTATGTTTCATAACATGCACACATAAACCTGAAACAGGTAATATTTAGATTTTTTGCTAAACTTTAGATAATTTCCAGATAATAAAAAAACCCATAGAGGAGTATCAAATTATACATTATTTTCTAGCATCAGTAAATAAGAACTTTGGTTCTTGTTAAATCCATTAGGCAATTAAAAAATTATTTTATAATCAAATTACCATACATAAGAGTAAATAATATATAATTATCATGCATATCAAATAACAATATAAGAAAAATTCCCTGTAACAATTATCCATTACAAAAGTCTCTGTTAAAATAAAAATAGCATTATATATTATCAAATACAGTAATTGTGTCTAATAGATTTGTTGTTAGCATACTTTAACTCTTCCGGATAACTCAACAATGGCACTTTAGCAAATGTGGAATTCCAGAAGTGAGCACTCTGTTTTCGTATCTGTTTGCTCTTGTGTCGAAATATTATGCATAACAGTGGGGAGAGATGCTCAAGAAGTTCACTGTCATAAGTTCCAGTGTAAGTGGACTGCAAGCAAGCAAGAATTTCTCCTAGTAGCTTTTCTAACTAAGAAAAAGGAAAAGTTTATTAGGGCAACAATAAGAACACTATTTTTAAAACAGGGGAAAAAAAGCAAGCACAATATATACTGAACACTGGGGGGAGGGGTGGGCAGGGAGAAAAGTGCAACAATGAATGACGGAAATCCAAAGACTCTGTAAATATTCATTGAAATTTAATAATAAAAAAATTTTAAATATACTGAACACTAACCTAAGAATTACTTCAACTTCTTCTTGAAGGCTTTTAAGAAAGCTATCATCTATTCTTTATATATATGTCATTCTATCATAGTTGGACAAATTAACAGGTAAGCTTACTTTGATACTAGGGCTGATTTTAAAGCTTACTTTTTCCAGTAACAGGAAAAAAGACATTTTTACATTAATTTTATTAAGAATAGTGGACTATGAAGAAATTTAAACTTAAGTATTAAGCCAATTAACTTACATGTGAAGGAATGAGATAAGAGACTGATGAGTTAAACAGATTTAAAACATACTCTCCTATTCTTTTTGAAAACTATCGTTCATGTGGAGAAATTGGAATGGAGGTTATGGATAGCTATGTTCACTGCAGCATTACTACGCACAATATCAAGAAAATGGAAACAATCCAAATGTCCATCAACAAATGAATGGATAAAGAAACTGTCACATTCACAATGGAATACTACACAGCACTAAAGAGTAATAAAGTATCCATAAAACATAATATGGGAGAATCTTGAGAGCATCTATTAACTGAATTAACTCAATCACAAAAGGACGAATACTACATAAGAAAGTTACTATGAAAATAGAAGGTTAACCAAATAGGGACAGAAGGACAGGAAGAGAACAGAATGTGCTGACAATAAACATTACAAGGTCTAGGACAAGGGATGTCCAACTTGGGAAGAATTGATAAAAGGACAATACAGCTATTACAATTATTAAACATGACCAAAAATATACCCGTTCAAAAGGGGAAGTGGAGAAGGTGAGAAGGGAGAAGAAATCACTATTACAGCAGAGTTTGGTGGGTGGGTAATTGTTATGGAATAGGATGGTACAATGTGGACTTGATGAAATGGAATATTAAGTCACAGATTAAGAGTAAATAAATATATCGAATGATGGAAATGAAAGAAATAATGTGTATGAAATGATGGAAATGAAAAGATTGTGAGCAAATAACTGACAAATAGTGAGGGGTGAACCCCACAAAAAACTATCATTTAAATGCGTTCATGTCATCTTCTATTCAAGCCCTTTAAAAATCAAGCAGAGGCAAGTTTAAGGAAAATAATTATCTAAACTTTACTTTTAAAAAAATGATGAGAATAAATTTTATGAATAATTTCTAGCTTTACCTTGCTGTTCAGAGAATTATATACTTTAGGAATTTCATCAGCTCTGTGAAAAAACAACACAGCCACATATTTTAGAAAATTAACACTGTATCAAACTAAACTTGAAAATACAGTATGCATCCATAAAAATAAGCAGCACACATCAAGCGGCACTTAAGAGGGTATTAGGATTTTAATTATAAAAAAAACAATTAGAAGACCCCAAAATTCTACTACTGATTACCTAAACATTTCTAAAAAGCTTGTTATTTTTCAAGCTCCATAGGGATTTTAAGAATTTATTTATCAGAATGAGGGCCATTCTTCTAAGTTACCTGTTAGTACCAAAGGACTCCAAGTTAATTCTGACTTACAGCAACCTCATGTGTTTCAGGCCACAACTGTGCTCCACAGGGCTTATCTATGATTGATTACATGGCTCCTAATGGATTTAGCATTCATCTTTCAATTAGCAGCTATCTGTACTCCTCAATGCAGAAGGGTATTTTAAAAAACTGCCAGGTGATTCAGAACTTTATATACAGAATAGAGCTTCTAAAAGAATTTCACTTAAAGGATCTTGTTCTGCATAAATAATCCATATATCGGCAATGAATTATGCACAAAAATATTCAATTGTGGCCTGATTCTCCTCCTATTTCCTTTCAAAGAGGGGGTCCATCCCTTTGGGATGTTATTTTCTAATAAATCTCTTTACTATTTTACCCTAAAAAACCAAAACGAAACACAACTGCAACACTGTCATAAATGAAAAAGCTAAAACACATAATTATGTCTATTAACAAGAAGTTGAACCTAAAATGTAATGGAATTCTATACAGGTACAAGCCCCCTGGTGATGTAGTATTAAAGAGCTGTGCCGTCACTCTGAAGGCAAGTGGTTCAAATACACCTGCTGCGCCACAGGACCAAGAGGGCCAATTTCCTCCAGGCAATTACACAGCTTCAGAAGACCTGCTGGAGGGTCACTTATGAGTCAGTTCTGACTCCATGGTACAGAAGCAGCAGCCATGTATCACAAAGAGTGCAATACAGAAGCACTCAGCTGCTAGCCCAGACTGGTTGTCTGAGTCCACGTCACTGCTCCAACAAAAGAAAGACCTCATGATATGATTCCCTATTGATACCAAACTCACTAATGTCAAGTCAGTTCCAACTCATGTGATCCCACATGCATTTTCAAGCAATTTTTGTGGGAGAAAATTGCCTCATCTTTCTTCCCCAGAACGGTAGGTATGCTCAAAAGGCCTAGGATTTGGCTTAGCAGTCCAGCACCTAACCTCCTTTATTTCCAAGGCTCCCTTCCACAAGATTATAGCCTATTGCTCTGGAGACCAGAGTTTTTATCACACAGCTGCTCTGTGGGAGAAGGACGCACAATCTCTTCCCTGTAATTTAATGCTTCTGAAAACCTGCTGGAAGGTCAGTTTCAAACTCCAGAGTATACAACTGCTCCTCTCACATCACACTGCTGTTAGAAGACTAAGGAGCACGCAATGACAGTGTAACAGGTATCTAAAAGATTCTTAAATGCATTGTAAAAAATGGCATACATTAAATGTATATACCATATACAACTGCAGAGACAAACACCAAATTCTTAAGATACGTGTTAAACTGAAAGTGAGCATGCAAAAAAGTGCCCTTCAATTACTCTTCAATTATCTCTTTAAACAGAAACAGTTTGTTCATTATACTATATTTTAAATTATAAACATTACCATTTACAGAAATAATTAAGCTTGTAGAAAAATACAAACATGTTATAAAATATATACATTTAGTTCAAAGCTATGAAATTCAATATACTTACTTTGAGTTCTGATATAATAATGCTAGAGGCTTTGCCAATGTTGCAAATACTTTCTGGATCATAGAAGGCAAAGAAATGTGTCCAAGTACATTAAAAAGAATGCTGATGATTGAGTTCCCAACTGCAAGGAGGGTATCAGAATGTGCTTCTTTGTAGCTTAGATTGTGAAAAGAATGAATAACTTTCACCACAAGTTTAAATAAGGAAGCCATCTTCCCAAGAGGCTCTTTCTTCTTTTTAGACCAGTCCGAAGATGTCTGAGCTGATAAAATCAAATATATTAAAAAATCAAGCAGAAAGAAAAAAAAATTCAAGCAGAGAACAGTGTTGCTTGTCCACCTTCAGAATTTTCTCTCATTTAAATGACATCTGCATATAACACAAGTGATTTTGTAGAATGAGATTCCAAAATAAAATATAAAAATTATATGCCATTAATATGCAAATAGTATGAGATTATTTTAGGAATGAAAATATATGGTAAGAAAGGAGGATTATCACAGTTTTATGAACATTTAATAAATGTCGATAGTTGTAGAGGAACTTCAGGCCTTTTGTTCATAGGGTTGCTGAGTCATGCTCAACTCAAAGGCAATCAACAACACAACAGTAAATTACAAAATTTACAAGAACATTCACATTTTCTAATTTCAACAAGTATTATAGTAAGACAGATTCTAAAAGTAACTATTAACACTTTTAAAACTAAGAAACACGTTTTCCATAACTGACTGGTTCCTGGGTAATCTACAGTACAATGAATTCTACAAACAAAATTGATTAAGTAAAAACCCCAAATGTTGGGTGAAATAATTAAGAAAATTTTAATACCTATTTCCTAGATTTAAATGGAGGAAGGAGTGTCATAATAGAAATCTTACTTATGTATCTTTCCTAAAACTCCTTTCTCCAAATGCCCACCTGCAGATTTCTAAGTTCACACTTGCCTTATCAAGTTAAATCACACCTATTTCAAGTAACCTTTAGATTTCTCTTAAAATAATCCATCCCTCTAATGTAAAAACTCAGACTTAAAACTCTAATACAATGCTTATTAACCAAAGAGCAAAATCTATTTTTGGAATATGAAGTAAATTTGAAAAGCTACTCAGTAAACCTTGTCCAAAGTTAACTAGTAAGTTGTTCTGTATAAGAAACATGAGTTTGAATTTTGGCCAATGATCTTCATAAGAAGTCAGCACATTCAACCATGAATGGAGAGAGAATTTGGAAGCTTCAGTGAGCCTTCCAGACAGACCAAGAAGAAAGGCCTGGTGACAGACTTTTGAGAAATAACTGAATAAAAAGCCTATGGTTCATGAAGGTCTAATCCATAAGCAATCACTCACAGGAATTCCATGGAGTAGTTTTAAGTAATAACTAGTTTTGGTCAAGATGTTAAACCTGAGGAGTTAACCTGGAAACTGACTATCTAAAAGGCTTTGACCAGAAGGCAATGAGAACCAAGACTTTCAGTTCAAGACTGAAGGTACAATACTGAAAGATGGAATGAAGACTAGGGATACTTAGAGACTTGTTCAAATAATTTATCAAGGCTCTAATTTAGGATTATTTCCATTTCACCAATGTCTCAGACACACTCTATCAGGTGCTCAAGTTTTCCATCAATGAAATAGTTTGATAGTATAAAACAAAGTATAAGTTTTCCTTAAGGATAAAGATTTGCCAAGTGACAAAAAAAAACTTTAAAGTTCATAAAATCTAAATAAACAAAATACCCTAAAACTGCTGTATATTATATACAAATTAATTGTCACTGAGTTGAAACTGACTTACAGCTCACCCGCCAGAGGGTATAGGACAGACTGCACATCTCTCTCTCTCTCTCACTTGGTAACTAGTGGATTCAAACTGCTCAGCAATGGGCGGCAGTTCAATTTCCTACCCACAAGGTCCCAGAAGTTCCACCACACCTCCCAAAAAAATCCTCAAAACTGCTATACATTTATTGTTATGCTACTATTTGACATAGATAGAAAACTAAATGGTTGTCCTTATAATGAAATAGCTATCAAACATCTTTCTCTTGAATATAATGTCAACAGCTCAGAGGTGGAGGATTATTTACCTACATAATTTTGGCTAAGACTCAACATTTTGTCTGTAAGTACAAAGAAATTAGTAGTAAACTGATACACTTTACAAAGATCAAAAGCAAGCTAAGTGATATGGGGAAAGGCAATGGAACAAATTCTGGGACAATCACACTTAATGAAGTAATATGGGATGGGTAAGTATAAGCAAAAAAATACTTACATTTAACTTTAGGCTGATATTTAATATTATATGGTGAATAGTCAATGCAATCGACCATTACAGTCATGACGTGAATGAGTCTATCCAAAAACAATAAATTCTAGGGAAAACATTAAGTATCATATTTAGAAACTTTTCAAAGTAACACTGGTATAGTTATATATGCAAACCTTGTAAACAATACTAATACACTTGCACCACCACATATTAATATATAGAGCATATTTTTCTGTTAACACTTAAATGGTTAAACATTTAAAAAACAGTAAGATTCAGTACATCAAGCAACATATTAAGACTAGAAAGAACAGGTCCCTAATTTCTTTTACATACAAAATTATACAATTTTAAAATTACATAATCATTAGTTTATAGAATTAGAAAAGTAAAAATCCATTACTATTTGCAGTATAGACAAAAGGAAACATGAGTTTGTCTTGTACTTTGGGCATGTTGTTATGAGAGACTATTCTTTTGAATAGGACATCATGGTTGGAAAGGTGGAGGGGTTAGTGAAAGGAAGATCCTCAACAGGGACTGACAATGTGATCAATTGTATCAGAAATAAGGATCGAATAAGATAGGACATGGTTCAGATCTTCTGTTCACTGGGTTGCTATATGGGATACTTAATGGCACTTAACAATATTCTCTGGAAAATGACATCATGCTTTGAAAGGGTGGAATGCTGGCACAAGAGAGGACAGCCTTCAACAACCTAGAATGATGTGGTGACTACAGAAATGGGCTCATGAATGTCACAGATGATGAAGATGGCACAGGATAGAACAAGGTTCAGATCTGTTATTCAGAGTCACTATGAGCTGTAGGTGTATTCCAGTTGAGGACACCTAACAATAAAAACAAATTAGTGGCTAAGTCCATAGAGTTGCACTGCTAACCAAAGGTGGTAAATCTCTTGTGGTTCAAATCCACCAGCCACTTCAAGGAAGAAAGATGAGTAGACTTTTGTGTAATTTAAATGTCTCTCAAAAACCTGACGGAGAGTCACTCCAAAGTCTGTTCTAGCTTGATGGCAAGGAGATTCTAGAATTATACATATCATGTTAATAGTAGAGGCAAACCTCCCTTCATTGTATTTCAAAGCTGCTACTACTACTATTTTTTAGAAGTTGAAGATGTGTGGCAACCAAGCGCAGTTGCCACTTTTTCTAACCCATGTGAAGTATTTTGGTAATTCTGACAATATTAAAAATATTTTCACAATATAATACACACTTAATACTGCTGTTATGTACTGAGTGAAAACCAATCCAAAGATGACCCTCCAGCAGGTTTTCAGAAGCAGTAAATTCACACAGGATGAGAGTGTCCATATTTCTTCTGCACACACAAATAGTGTAAACAGAACTTTTATAACATGAGTCATGCTAGGTTCAATCAAGTTAGTTCTGACTCAACACTGCCTGGTGTTCTGCTATGCTAAAAATCATCTTATTTGAAACCCACTGTTCTAGCCACTCTGTCAATCACATCAATAAAGATAATCTTTTTCACTGATACTCTACCACAAATATGGAACCTCTCCTGAAAGAGCACACCAGTATGGTGTTCAAGTGACTGATTCTTGGTCTAGGTCAGGTTCTGCATAAGGATGATTAATTCCCATCCAGGAAATATTATCCATAATTAGTATGATCCACACTAATGAAAGTCTTTGTATACTTTATAAAACAAGTAGTTAACATCTTTCTGGTATTCTGCTTTCAGCCAAGACTCATCTGACATCAGTAATAATATTCCTTATTCCACATCTGACTTTCACTTCTGGTAGTTTCTGACAATGTGCTACTCCACAAATTTTTTAATTATCTTCAGTAAGATTTCTCTAGGTCGTATAGCCCTGGTGTACAAGTTGCCGTACCGCGTTCACTTTTGGTTGCTGTGAGGCTGAACACCGTGACACTGGTGTGTCAAATGCGTTAATGGTTGGCCTGCAACGTAACGGCACTTAACAATAACATCAACAGAGAGAGAGAGAGAGAGAAGGGGAGAGAGAAGGGGAGAGAGAGAGAGAGAGAGAGAGAGAGAAGGGGAGAGAGAAGGGGGGAGAGAGAGAGAGAGAGAGAGAGAGAGCGAGCGAGCGAGCGAGCGAGAGAGAGAGAGGAGAGAGCGTGCGCGAGAGCAGCTAGCCCAGTGAAGAGAAAATGATGTGACCAAGACAAAGATGGGTGACTTTTAATTTGTGGCCCTCAGGCCAGTCTTTCATTGTTTTTGTTCAGACATTCCTCTAGTCGTATAGCCCTGGTGTACAAGTTGCCGTCCTGCGGTCACTTGTGGTTGCTGTGAGGCTGAACACTGTGGCATGGATGTGTCAAATGCGTTAATGGTTGGCTACCCAATGTGGACTGAGAGTGGGGTGGAGCTCCCTGATTAAACAAGCGTGGAAGGAGGAGTGGCATCCACTTCATAATAGCTTGCCTCCGGAAACCCTATGAACCTGGAGAGAGGATAAAAGGCACCCAAGCGTTGGTGACTCTCCTTCATAGGGTCGCTATGAGTCACCTGCGACTCAACGGCACTTAACAACAAACAACAACATTAATGATTGTTCTACAATTTTTGCACCAAGTAGGATTCTTCTTGAGAATAGACACAAATACAGAACTCTTCTACTTGGATGCCCAGTTAGCTGTCTTCCAAATTTCATCATAGGTGAGTAAACACTAGTTGTCTGCTGAGTCTTTTCAATCAGTATTCCATCACCTGGAGCCTTGCTTTTTTGGCAATGACTTCAGTGTAGCTTGTGCTTCTACCTTCAATAGCACTGGTTCTTGTTTATAAGCTACTTCTTGAAATTGTTGTACCTTGATGAATACTTTTCTGACATTCACTCTTTTCCATTTCTTTCATATCTTTTGAATAACGTTTCCTGTTCTTCATTTATGATACACTGCATACACACACAAAACTTCAACATTTTTGTGACTAATTTAATTTCAAGAGTTTCTTTACTGTATTTGCACAAAAGTCAACAGTTGCTCTTTTCATTGAAAAGAGACCAAAAAGGAACTCAGAATGTTAATTTCTAAACAAGCAAACTTTTAAAAATCACACATTCTACTTTCAAATTCAAGTAAAAAGCACCTGTTATGAAATACAATAACGCACCAAGGATAAATTCAGAAACCGACTGTAACTTCAGGGCAAACCATCATTAACGAAAAGAAAACACACAAGATTTAATAGCTGCATGTTTTTCATGCCTTCATTTATGATACATGCACATAAATACCAAAATTTATGCTATTAGCTTTATTGAAATAGGTGCTTTATTAGTTGTGTAAAACAGAAAATAAAGATCTGACAGACACAGGATCATGAGTCTACACAATAGCAAGGGTTTTTGTATTAATGTAGAATGGTACAATCTGAGCAGATACACAATAATTAAAGTAGTAAGAGTCTCACTGTTAATGGGCCTGAATATATGTACCTAGAGAAGGATAAAATTATTTCACACTACATGGCTTTATATATTAACTTATCAGATTAAATCAGTCCTCTCCACAACCTAAACTGTCCTACAAATATTTATGAATTCCTGGTGCCCTGAATTGTGGTTTTGAACTTGATGGGAAAGGAAATTTTCTTTGTGATATTAATAGGTCATATTTAGTGATGCTGTTCCTAAATATAGTCACTTCTGTATTATAACAACAAGAAAGTAAAGAGACATACAAGAGGAACAGATATGATGAGGACTATGTGTCACAAACGCCTAGGAATGTCTGGATAACCAACAAAGTAGGAATCTAAAAATAGCAAAACCTCAACTTTTTAAAAAAATGTCAACATTTAGCTTCCACATTGTGAGAAAAACCAACTTGTTCCATTTCTGCAATAAAAGGTAATGAAGGCATTTAACTACTTATAAATAAATTAAAAGCATTATTACTTCTATCTCCATTTTCTTTTTAAAAAACCACCAAACAACAAAACCCCAAAACCCGCCTTAAATATAAGAAGTTTGAATGACAGAAAACTCACTGAAAAGTCTTCTTCATTCAGACTGGACAGTATCTTAGAACAAAGTTCTTCACAGCACAAATTCTCTTCTGCAGTTGCCACCAAAGCAGCACAACGAGAAAATGTGCGGTATAATTCTGACCAAGTTCTAAGTAAAGTCTTCATGGTGGCCTACAGAACAAAAAAATAACATACAAATATATGTATATATGTGTGTGTGTGTACACATCATATACAAACACAAACCTATGCATCAAATACTGAAGCTTATCATTAATGCTTCTGAAAGCATTTTAGGTATCACAGAGTTGAACTAAGCTGACAATATTCTCAGTTTTAACTGAAAGTTTATAAAAGCAAAAAATATAAAGTTACCAGAGAAGTCACATTTCTTTTTCTTTTGTTTATCCATAATCTAGTAACTCAGTTATAACAAAGACTTACTTTATATAAAATATATAAAATCTCATTATAAAAGGCAAAATATTTTAAGAAAAAGGCAAATTATCCAAAAATAAATTCAACAATGCCTTACCACTGGAAACTTCTGCACAGAAAATACATGGTTTATTGGTAAAGTCAATGCACTATAGATGGCACTAAAATTGTGTTCTAAGGCATCACCCTGATTCACTTCATTGGTCTGAAATAAGAAAAACAATAAAATTAGGCAGCCCAGCGTAAAATTCTAACACTAAATCCTGAAAAGAAACTCAGAAACAAATCCAAAATCTTTTTACCAGAAAGAGAATAGCAGTCAATGGTTTAAAAAAATTGGCCTCTGATACACTTCAAACATGTTTAGGAAAGTAAAACTCAAACTTCTTGCCCCAGTAAAATGGGTTTAATAGCTTCTGAAGGCTTGACAAGGACTGTGTTATCTTTTAAAATTTTATTTGTAAGTTAAAGAACTAGCCTAAAGAATATTTCCATTTAATAAAAAAGCAGTTGAGAAACCACCAGAAGTGATTATACTAGTGCTCTACAGCTTTCTAATATGACCACTTTTCTAAGAGTTTAAATCTGAGAATTAGTCAACTCTCAAGAGTCCTTATTTAGAAAAATGGCATGTCTTTGAGTTAATCACCAAACTATGAGTTGGAAGCTACTTAAAAGTACATAACAACAACATGTTGGCCAGGAAACTACTGAGAATCTATTAACTTGTCAAGATGGCCATCATTATTCCCCATTAGTACAATTACTGAAAGAATCCAAGATAAAGATAGGAAACTTCTGTGACCATTCTGGTTACATATTCACTACTGGAGACAAATGGTTATCTGTTTCCACAAACATAATACTTAAAACTCCAAACAAAAAACCAAGTAATTCCAATAGTAGAAAGAGTTACCAATCCTAAAAGAAAAAAAAATTTAGAGCTTTTCTATTCAGCTTGAGTCAGAATAAAAAACAAAGAAGTTGCTCAAAGAACTGAAAAAAAATTCAAGCTGCAAGTTACAATATGGAAACATGGGGGGATAAAATCTTGAACAATCCAGAAGCATCAAAAGAAGATGAAAGAAATACAGTCACTAAACCAAAAAGAACTTTACGTGAAAGTATTTCAGAAAGTATGCTATGAACAAGAGTCAAAGGTAATAAAGGAAGAGGTTCAATCTGCATTGAAGGCATTTGCAAAAATTAAAGCACCAGCAATCAAAGGAATACTGACATGTTTCAAGTGACAGATAGATGCAGCTGTGGATGTACTTATCAGTGTATGCCAGGAAATCTGGAGGACAGATGCCAGGCTGACTGACTGAAAGAGATCCCTGTTTGTTCTCATTCCAAAGAAAGGTGATCTAAGAGAATGCAGAAATTATCAAGCAATAGCATCAGTATCACATACAAATAAAATATTGCTGGAGACTGACCAAAAATAGCTAGAACAGTACATTGACAAAGAATTGCCAAAAGCTCAAACTTGATTTAGAAGAGGCTGTGGCACCAAGGATATTATTGCTGATCAGATGGATCTGGCTAAAAGTAGAGAATACTAGAAGAATGTCTATGCTTTATTAATTATGCAAAGGCATTTGACTGTGGAGACAATAACAATGGCTATCACTAAAGAAGAATGAGTATTCCAGAACACACTTAAGCATACTTATAAGAAATCTATACATACATGAAAAAGCTGAGGAATCAACAACTAGCTTTATGCAGATGCTATAACTTTGCTTGATGCAGTAAATCAAGAAATACTGCTGTCATTATTGTCTTTCAATATAAAGAAGAAAAAAAATCCTCACCACTGAGCTAATAGGCAACATCATTATAGACTAAAAAGAAGACTAAAATACTCAACACCTTCATCTTACTTGGATCCACAAAACCCCTTGGTCCCAGCAGTCAGGAAATCAGAAGATATATCATGTTGGGCCCCACTCTCAGGGACCGCTTCATAGCAATGATGTCAGTGTAAAGATTAGGGTGTGCCTAATTTTTTTTCCAATCACTTCCTATGCATGAGAGCTGAACAATTAAGGATGACAGAAGAATTAATGCCTTTGAGTTGTGGTGCTGGAGACAAGTACTGAATACTCCATGGACTGCCAAAGGAACAGATGTGTCCTGGAAAAACTGAAGCCAGACAGCTCCCTGAAGGCCTATCTTTCTTACACATACTTTGGGCATGTCCGTGGAGAGGGACATCATGCTTGGAAGGGTGAAGGGTTAGTGAGAGAAAGACCTCTGAGGAGATGGATTGACACAGTGACTGCAGGAATGGCTCAACTGTATCACAGATGAGGATGTCGACACCAGACAAAGGACAGGGTTTAGGGTCGCGATGAGTCATATTTAGCATGATGGCACCTAACAACATTTATTCATTTTACCCAGATATTCTGACACACAATTTTGGGAGAAACACAGATATTATTATATCATACCTGATTAATCAATTCAGTTAGTGGATTAACAATGATACTCCACATTCTCCAGAGATGCTCCTTGTTTTCCAAATGCTTTGCATTTTGATTAATAGCATTTAAAACAGAGTCACTGAATGCTAGTGGTGAAGCTGGACCAGAAAGAACACAAACTACAAGTGTTTCCATATTGACAAAGAAACTGGGGGGAAAAAATATTTAACACATTAACCTTGAAATGTCTGGCAAACAACAAAATAAAAGTAACTGACAAAAAAATAAGATATGATGAACTCCATGTCTTACTTTAGAAAAAGAGTAACAACAACATAGAATAAAAAAAAATCATTAACATCCTTTCAAAGATAAACTACAGAAATAAATTAATTAAAAATGCTTACCTTTCATTTGATGTACCACATTGTAACAGACTATTGTTGAAAATCAGCTGAATTAAAAACAGAGCTGGAGTTCCCTAAAGACAGAAAACACAGTCAATCTTCTCACAACAAATAGTACTTTTTTTCCTACAAACAATTAAGTGAGATACATAATTCTGTTAGCCTACAAAAATCTGTTTTGGCACAATCAGTATCATAGCAAATTTATCTCCATCAAACACACACACACACACACACACACACACACACACACACACAAAATAAAAAGCTTTTTCTATTATAATACAAAATTTTTATACATGTAAAATAAAGATTAGATATTAAAAGGCTATTAATTGAAAATTGAATGCAGAATGCACACGCATCTCTATTGCTGCTTTGTTCACAATAACAAAGAGTTGGAAACAACCTAAGTATACATCAACAAACGCACGGATAGAGCAGCTATGGTATATTCACACAAGGAATACTATGCAGCATTGAAAAGCAAGACTCATGAAATATTATACAATATGGGTGACCGTGGAGGACATTACGCTGAGTGAAATATCTCAGTCACAAATGGAAAAATACTGCATAATGCCACTGACATGGGGGTTGGGAGGAAACTAAGAAGAGGGGACAAATAATATACATGGCACTGAAACAGATAAGGAAGAGAACTGTATAAAAGGAATATATGATTAGGTATTATTGACATGACAGAAGTCCAGAATAAGAGCTGAATATTAAAGTTGGGGGGGGGGTAAGGAGGGGAGGACAGACATCTGTATTAAAAATGAAAGAACTATTTAAAAAAAAAATGAACTTTGGGGGATGGGGACAGGGAGGAAAATGTGCAACAATGAATGAAAGTAAATTTAACTTCTTTATAAACGTTCATTAAAAATCTCAGGAAAAAAAACTGAACGCATAAAACCTACTTCCTACAAATAGTTACACTTATTTCACAATATATAATCACTTTCCCTAAACTTAACCCAACACACTGGAGCCACTGTTGTAGTTACCTCACTTTGAACATCTTCCTCTTTTTCACTGACCCACTTTTCCAAGCAATAAGCTCTCCTAACTATATGCCCAAAATACGTAAAACGAAGCTTCACCACCCCTGCCTCAAAGGAGCATGACTGCACTTTCACCAACTAATGTTTGTTCTTTTGGAAGTCTATGGAACATTCAGTCCTCTTCTCCTATATAATTCAATGGCATCACTTCTGTCATCATTATTCACTGTCCAGTTCTCAATCAGGTGCACCTTCGTCTTCAAACTGCCATCAATTCTCATTAGTCTGGAGAGGACCCTTACAGCAGACTTGCCTGACACCAAATGTATCATAATCTCCTGGCTACAGGTATCATGAGTGTTGCTTGTAAATCAAGTAACATGAAATCACTGATAATTTCAGCAATTCTTTTCTCCATTTAAGATGTTGCTTACTTGCCTAGAAATAAGGATTTGTTTTTTTGATGTTGCAATGATTTCTATATTGAAAACTATAGTCCTTGATCTTTCACAGTAAGCAAGACTGTGCAATCTGCATAATGCAGGTTGTTGAATCCTCCTCAGATCCTGATGCCACATACTTATTAGTCCAGCTAAGATTTGCTCACCATACAGACCAATTAGGTATGGAGAAAGAATACAACCCTGACACACACCTTTCCTGATTATAAACCGTACAATATTCCCTTGCTCTACTAGGAAAATACGTTGCGTTAAGAAGTTGTGTGGCAATTCTCAAATAACATTTAAATTCACCAGGTGGTCCATGGGAGAAAGATGGGCTAGTTCCTCCCATGTGATTAAACTGCCTTTGAAAACCCATGGATGCATAGGTTCCGAATCAATGGTAAGAAACAAGTTAGTTTCTTGGTCTAGGTATAGATTTTGTATAAGCATAATTTAGTGTTCTGAAATTCCCATTCTTCTCAATGTTAGCCATAATTTGATATTATCCAGTCAAATGCCTTTGTATAATCAGTAAAACACAAAGACATTTTTATGGTATTCTCTGCTTGCAGGCCGGATCCATCTGTCAACAGTAATAACATTCCTAGTGCCACAGCCTCTTCTAGACTCAGCATGAACTTCTTGAAGTTTTTTGTCAACATACTGTGCAAAATGTTTTTGGATGATCTTCAATTTTTTCTAGCATGTGTTATTAAGGATGTTGTTTGGTAATTTTTTGATCATCTTTCTAGGGAATGAGAACAAATATGGCTTCAAATTTGCTGGAAACAGACTGGTCAGCACATCAAAAGTTGAATCTGTTAGTTCAAACAGGTCATTTTCTTTCTCAGCAATTCCAAGGGCCTTATTTTTACCAATGCCCTCAATGCAGCTTAAACTTCTATTTTTATTACTATTCGCTTCTGTTAATATGAAACTTCTTGAACTTTTTTCATTGTTAACTAATTCTTTTTACTATGGTGACTCTGGTAATTCCTTGCATCCTCCTTTAATGCTTCCTGGACCATTCAAGATTCTGTCCAAAGCAGCTGTAAATATTGCAACTTGAGGCCTGATTTTGTTTTTCAGTCCTTTCAACTTCAGAAATACCAAATTCTTCCCTTTTTATTCTCCAACTCCAGGCTCTTTGGTTTCTTAATGACTTTAGCATTAATTCTCTAGAGTATCTTCTGATATTCATTTTGGTCTCTCTTCCCTGTTTAATGACCTTTTGCTTTAATCATGGATAGTACCTTTCATGTTACCCCACAACACATTAATCAGGTTTTGTTTTTTTCCCTTTAGATGTTCTTTTTACTATTATAATTGTTATTTTTAAAAAAATAATTACGAGGTTTTATCTTTCTGAAGAGAACAAGGTTCATAAAAATATATAATAACTGTTGGGTAACTTGAAGATTGAGGGATAATTTATCTGTCGAGGTTAAGAGAGAGAAATAGGTTCACATGAAATTTTCGTTATAAAATTTTCTACGTTGTTACATTCTATACATTCTACTTTTTGCATTATTCCAAGGCCATGCTTATCATTTAATAATCACAGTCGATTTCAGCTTATCAGGCCTGATGGTGACTCTCCATCAGTATTCTCAGGCTGTAAATCTCTAGGAGAGAATTCTAGAAAGAATCAGTTTTAAGTGTATAAAAACTATTCTTGGGATAATTTTTTAAGTCCGGTTAAGACAGACCCAAGGTCATATACATATTCTGGTTCTTGTGGGACTTTTCATTTTCAACTTCGATTTGACCTTGCCCATGAGTAGAACTGATCATCTACTGCAAAGTCAGCATGTGGACTAGTTTTGACTACTCATAATGGAGCTTCTCCACATATTCAGTCAATGTGATTCCTGTGCACTAGGTGAAGTCCACGTGCGAAGCAGCCATCTGTTTCATATTTGGATTCAAAAACCAAAATGTTATCATTTGGTATTTAGCCTCATTTCTTCTTCCAAGTACCTTTTCTTCTACCTTGTTTCCAACTTTTGCATTCCAATCACCAATTATTTACGCATCCTAACTACATGACTGATACATTTCTGATTACAAAAGATTGGTAGAATTCATCAATTCATTTTTAGCTTTAACTTGGCTGGTGCCTATATTTGAATAACATCTGTATTAATCAGTCTTCACTGTATGCCTTTGGATAATATCCTATCACACAGCATTATAGCTCATGATAGATCTTGAAATGGTCTTTATAACTAGGAATGCAACATCATTCTTAAATTTTTCATAACAGAAGTAATAGATTATTGCTATATACCAACTGACCCATAGGTGACCCTCCAGTGGGTTTTCAGAAGCAGTTTAATCACTTGGGAGGAGACTGCCCATCAGTCTCCTGAGGAGCAGCTGGTAGATTTGAACTGCACATCTTTGAGTTGCCAATGCAACTCCTTACCACTAAGCCACAGTGCTCTCCAACACAGTAGCTTGTTTTTTGTTTTTGCTGTTAGGTGCCATTGAGTCGAATACAAACACGACTCCTAGTGACCTTGTGAACAAATATCTGAAACTAGTCCTATCCAGCACCATCCTCAGACTTCCTGACACACAAGAGCCCATTGCATTGCAGCAGCCACCTTTTCAATCCACTTGGTTGAGGGTCTTCCTCTCCTTCACCGACCCTCCTCCTTTTCCTCTCCAAGGAATAGCATCTCCTTATCAATATGTCCAATGTATATTAGGTAAAGCCTCATCAGTCTTGCCTCCAAAGAGCATCTGGCTGCACCCTCTCCAAGACTTATCTATTCATTCTCTTGGCCATCCATGGAATGTTCAGTGCTCTTCTCCAACACCAAAGCTCAAAGGCATCAATTCTTTTTCACTGTCCAGATCTCTGATGCATAGCTAGTAACTGGAAAGACTGTGGCCTGAATCAGATGTACCTTAGTCTTCAAACTTAATCACTACTCAGTAATTTAGAACGCTCCCTACTGCAGATTTTCCCAGTGCAATGCATCTCCTTATTTCCTGATTATTCGTACTAAGGGTGTTAATTGTGGATCCAAGCAAGACAAAGCTGTTGACCGTTTCAATTTCCTCTTCATCCATTGTGACACAGCTATTGGTCCAGTAGTAAGAATCTTTGTTTTCCTTATATTGAGACACAATCTATACTGAAGGCTGCGTTCCTTGATCTTCTGCAACAAGTGCTTCAAATCCTCACTTTCAGCAAGATTGTGTCATCTGCTTAACGCAGGTTACGGATGAGTGTTCCTCCAATCCTGATGCCATATACCTCTTCAGAGTCCAGTTTCTCAGATAATTTGCTCAGCATATAGACTGAACAGGTATGGAGACAAAATACATTCCTGATGAACTCCCTTCCCAATTCCAAACCATTCAGTGCTCCCCTGCTCTGTTTGCACAACAGTCTCCCAGTCCAGATACAGGTTCCTCATGAGCACAATCAGCAGCTGTCTGGCCAATTATTTGTTCCTATTCCCAAGAAGGGTGATCCAACTGAAAGTGGAAATTATCAAACAGTATCACTGATATCACATGCTAGTGATATACTGCTAAAGATCATTCAAAAACGACTGGAACGGTCCATAGATAGGGAATTGCCGCAAGTTCAGGTAGGATTTGGAAGAGGCCATATGACCAGGAATATCATTGCTGATGTGAGATGGATCCTTGCTGTAAGGAATACCAGTTGTGCTTTATTGACTATGCAAAGGCATTTGACTATGTGGATTATGACAAGTTTTGGCTGACACTGAGAAGAATGAGAGTCCCAGAGCACTTGATTGTGCTCATGAGGACACAGTAGCTATGACTGTCCAATTCAAAGTGTCACTTCCAGTCCATCTCAGCTCACTAATACCTATGTCTATGCTTTCCTTTTCATTTTTTAAAATCATGCCCAGTTTTCCTGTATTCATACTTTGCACATTCCACATTCAATAGTGGATGTCTGCAGCTGCATCTCATTTTTTAGTAAACTTTCATCTGGTCTCTACTTCTAATACTGTATCTACCTATTTTCCTCTATTGTTCACAGGTGTTGAAGAACTATTATTTTAGAAGTCAATGCCTAATCTTACTTCCTAGTCTGTCTTTATTTAGGAACTATGCTGAAATCTGTCCAACATGGGTGACCCTGCTGGTTCATTTAAATTCTTAACTAGAAATATTTTTTCGTTAATAATATAGTAACACATTTAGTTCTTTATAAAAATTTCTAAACAGTACTATGGCGTAAACACCAACTCACAGTGACTACTAGGATTCTGAGCACTAAAATCTTTACAGAATCTAAGTGTTCATCTTTCTCCCCAACATCAGGCAGATCAAAGTGCTAGCCTTTTCATTAGCAGCTCAACACATGTACCATGGCATTAGATCTCACCCAGTACTCTTTTATAAAAAAAATAAAATAAATAAAAAAAAAATCTAAATCAGTTTTTTTTCTTCTGGGTAAGAAGTAGAACTTCTTTGCTGATCTAATCATATCATTACATTTAAGATACTTGCATTAAGAATATCCATATTAGCAACCTGATATAGTGGTGAACCGAGTACTTTCTGAGGAAGTCCTTTAATTGTAATTTCCATAAGAATCTATGAAAGGGAAAAAGAGTGAAAGTAAAATTAGTCATAAATAAAATTTACATTGTATGTATTACAAGCAATGTTTACACATGCATGTGAAAATATTCTCACTGGTTACTAAAACTTAAACAGAAAGCAAAGTGAGTCTTAATTTCCAGAAATCATTAACACTATCAGTTTGAAATTTAACACTGCTTCTAGAATATCTCCTAAATTTCAAATATAAGGACAGAGAAATCAATTTACTTCTTACTGTGAAATATTCTCAAAATGATCTTCCTTTTACTGTATTACAGAATAAGCTCCAGTCTTTGTTACTTATTTCCTATGCTATACCAGATAGTGTAATTACTTGTAACATTGCATAAAGAAAAATAAACTCAAAAACACAAGCAAGGGTATCTTATCATTCATTTCATCTGTCAGCTCACTACTCAAAAAATTGTCATCATCTTTATTAAAGAGTTAACTTAAAATGCAAAAACGTCAGAGACTTGGGGTATTTTAAAGCAATGCAAAATATAATGGTGTTCAACAATCTTCTACTATAATTAATGGACAGCGGTATTTCTGTATTTCAACTTCACATTCTTTACTCATTTTCTTATGTTCAACTCTTATAGTTTGATTATAGTTGTTTCTTTAAAAGGTTTCAGATGACTGAAAAATCAACAAAAGAGTATTTAATCCTACTGCTGCCACCAAAAAAAACAAAAACAAAATAAAATAAAAATTACAGGGCTAAATTATCAGTACTTATTTTTTTAAAGTTTCCTCCAACTCTAACTTATACATAAATCTTAAATAAAATTACAAAAATTACTTTAAAAATAATTAATTGGCAGGGGAAGAGTACCAGGAATCAATTTAAACTATGACTTCTAAAGGGCAATATATAGATAACATATACTCACCAACGTTTTCGACACAGGAAATATTTCTGACTTTACTATGCTTTCCAAAGATTTTAGTAAAAGCGTCAAAACTTCAGAACCAGGTCTCTCTTTTTTATTACCTACTAATAAGCAAAATGACCACATGAAAGTCTGCTCATTTATTTTGAGGTAAAAACACAAATACTAAAAACCATTTTTTCACTAAATCAACAATTTACATAAAGGCAGGAAAAAAATAGACAATAAAAGTGTATTAAGATATTACAAAATAGTTTTATAAGTTTTTTACTAGGAAATCAAATAAGGTGATATATGAAAAATGTCATCAGAGGAATAATGTTCTAGGCTTTCCTTACCTGATTCAATAACTGACTTCACCAAGCTTATCAGTTCCTTCCAAATAGCATTGATAACGGAATCTGCCAAACAAACAAAAAATTATAAATGCCTACAGAATGAAAAATATTTCACTACTAAGGTTCTCCACAAAAATTTGAAAAAAATTCTATCACTTACAATGGGAACCTGCACCAGTTATTTAATTCCACTGTTCCTCATACGTAAAATAGATTAAAATATAAAGTTCTCGGGCACTCTGGTGATGTTGTTGTTAAGTGCCGTCAAGCTGCAGATGACTCATAGCGACCCTATGTAGGAGAGTCCTCAACGCTTGTGTGTCTTTCATCTTCTCTCCATAGGTTCATAGGGTTTCTGGAGGCAAGCTATTATGGAAGTGGATACCACTCCTGCTTCCAAGCTTGTTTTAATCAGAGAGCTCCACCCCACAGTGTCCACATTAGGTAACCAACCATTAACACATCTGACACATCAGTGTCAGTCTTCAGCCTCACGGCACCCACAACTTAACACTATATGGCAAGCGGACACACTAAGGCCTAGAGGAATGTTTGAACAAAAACAATGAAAAACAGGTCTGAAGGCCGCGGATTAAGTCACCCACCTTTGGCTTGGTGATAGTGTGGTTAAAACATTCAGCTGTAACCAAATGGTGGAATGTAAGTTTGAACCCACCAGTTGGGAGAAGGATGAGGCAGCCTGCTTTCATAAAGAACATGCCTGTGGGGCAGTTCTAGTTTGTCCTAATGGGTCTGGTAAGTGAGAAGCATCTTGATGGCACTATGTTAAGCTCTTTCAACACATACAACAGAAGACATTCTACAAGTACGTCCTCATTTTCTATTCATGACAAAGAAGTTTCAAAAATAAATTTTTCTTTTAAATACTTACCAGAAGCGTCTTTTCCAACAGCAACAAAACTATCATGAACAGCAGTGATAAGTGTATTTGCATGTTTGCAAAAAAAGGTAGGGCTGCCAATTAATGGATGTTCAAGCGCCTCTAGAAAGGGGAAAACAAAGCAGAATTACAAAAAACCAGAAGCTTAAAAAATAAACTTCTCAATATTAAAAACTGATTACTTGACATGTTTTCTAGGAAAGAGATTTATACAATAACCCATTCTTTTAAATGCAGACAGAGGAACACCTCTCCTCACCCCAATGAACTGAGTTACAGGCTGTTTAATAACTATAAAATATTCAAGCAAAAAAATACCTAGACTTAGTGCAAGTTTGTTCTGCTTAGCAAAATTCAAGATTTCTGGTCCCATAAAAAAATGAAGCAACATTTCAAGACCTAGAAGTTGAATGGAGGGGATTGTGGCCATTCCACCCAAATTTGAACTCAAATTCATCCGAGGAGTTACAGGGGTTCCATACTGGGGAGCACCTTAAAAGAAAAAGATATTTTATAAAATCATGCTTTATATCAGAGACTGTTGTTGTTGTTGTTAAGTGCCGTCGAGTCACAGGCGACTCATAGCGACCCTATGAAGGAGAGTCCTTGATGCTATATCAGAGACTAGAGGAATAATTATTTCAATAAAAAGTACCTTTAAATAGTTACAAGATATTTATTTTAATTAACATAAGATAATGTTTTTGTTTGAATGGAAAACAAGTATGATTTATAATCTCTTAAATCACAATAAAGGTAAAAAATGTACTTTCAACAAGCAAATTCCTACATAAAAATTATGCTTGTTTAGAAAAACCAAATAGTTTATTTATGCTGGTAAGATATCATTTAAACTAGTCATCCTCAGATATTATGCTTAAAAAGAGTAGCATGCAGACATTGCTGTAACAAATATGAAACAAAATTTACAAACGCCAGAAAAACTAGCATAGAAGTACTAAAGTCATATTCTTATATTGTAAAACATAAAAGGAAATTCTGCATTATACACATCTTTCAACAATATAACATTTCTCAATAATGAAAATAACTTTTTATCGTAACTCTATAAAATTGGGAACTTAAAATTAACAGTTCCTATGCATGCAATGCACCTCACATAATATAGTGGGGGGAAAATTTTTCCCCTAATCACAACACAATGAAAATATGCAAACACATAAAGCAAATGAAAACACAAAATAAAAAACACCTAACACATAAAATGAAAAAGCAAATCACAAAAATAAAACTATATGTAGTAAAAAAATTCATTTTATAGTAAAGAATCCCCAAATTACAAGTGTGTCTTTTCACATAAATAATACTTAGTATAAAATCTGACTAGGGAAAAAAAAAATCTGACTAGAAGCCTGTATTGAAAAATATGAAGAAAATAATGAAAAAACAATGTTTACCCCTTACCTTTATGCAAAGGGGTTGCAGGATTTGGAGTAGCTACACGAGACAAACTGCCTTGAGGTGAAGCATTAGCATCAATGCTTATTGTACTTTGAATCAGAGGCACACAAACCTATTATAGTTTAAAAAAAGAAAAATCTATTTTAATAGGAAAATGTATAATTCACATTTTTAGAAGTCTTAGATACAGCTAAAATTTAAGAAAAAAATTAATAAGCCTTATCAATTTTTTTGGTAAGCTGAAATTTATTTGATGAGTATTCCTATGCATAAATCTACTTATATCAATTTAAAAAATTATAAATTCTTATTACAACTCTAGTTTTCCTAAATGAGTATTATGTGTAAATTTTAATTCTAAATACCAAAGAGAAAATTATACCCATTAAGAACTATTATCTACGTAAATTAAACATGTGTAGACTTACTTTCACCATTTTCTAAAATACTGTACAAAACAGAAATGAAGACAGCTTACTTCTAAATCATTCCAATACTAGTTAGTGAATTATGCCAATAAAGGTGTTGAGAACTAAGGTTAACCTACTCATTATTTTGCTAAAATTTTTCAAAATAAATTGTAGTTCTAATTAACTATTCAGTGCTCATTTTAAATTACTTCATACTTTTAAATTTAAAAAACCGTAGTTAAAAATTTAAAAACTTGCTAAAAATGTATTTATTACAGACCCTTCCTTTCAAACATTCACCCATTTCTATGCCATTATTTATGTAAGCTTTAAGGTTGCAGAACCTATAGTAAAAATTTACTCCAAAGAAAAGAAAAAGAGAAAAAGATAAAATAAGTTTGAAGTGCTTCTTTATAATTGAACTGAAAACAAATTCAGAAACTAACATGGCAATAAGTTTTATATCTAAATGCTAGTGAAAAAATAAAAAACTCTAAAAAAAGCTATGATACAAAAGTGAATTACTTTTTTACCACTACAGAGAGAGAATTGAGTTAATTTTCTACCCAGTTTAGTATTTCAATGAGTTTTTTTTTTCACAAATACTAACTTTACTCTCAGTTATATCCTAAATCTTCCAGGAGCAAGAAATAAGAGGAAGGAACTGAAGGTTACTGATTGAAAAAACTTTTGGGAGTCAATTTTGAAGCCATCCTTTCAGGGAAATTATTATCTCTAGCTCTGGTTGGAAAATTATCTTTATATGTCAATATATAGCAAAAATATTGCTAAAAGAGCTGTTGCAGAGAACTTTACAAAACAATCTAAAAACATATCAAGTATATTATAATCACTTTTGTAATGTTACCTGTTCAAAATTAGCAGGAAGATAAGGTCCAAGTCTCAGGAGTAAATACCACCAGACTTCTAGCTTGGTTAATGCTAGAGTTTCTGTTCTCACATGGATGGAACTCAAAGGCTGCATTAACAACTTGAGTCTTTTTGCACTACACAGAATATCTTAAAAGCAAATAAAACCATTAAAAAAAAAAGATTTAACAGCTTGAGATTAAATTTTATGAATGAGCTATGTCATGGTGTCCTTTTTGCCATAGTAAGAAAAAGGACTCAAAACATTCCTTTCTGACAAACCCAAGTACAAGTCAACTCAAACTTAAGGCTATAAAAAGATAAGCAGTGCTTATTAGATATCTGTGCATTAGGGCAATTTTGCCCTCTAAAGAACACTTAGTAATCTTGACAAGTATTTTTTGGGAGCTCTGTAAATGACATTCTAAGCATGTAGTTGACAGAAGTCAGGGATTGTGCCAAAAGCAAAACAAAGTGACAGAAAAGGAAAATCTTTCAAATATTAATTTACTTACCTGGATTTAAAGCAAAATTATCTATTAAACTCTTCCAAGCTATGAAAGCTATTTTTTTAACCATGGGTGTTCCACTACGAAAGCCCAGTTCTTCCAACTGTAACAGAGCATTGATGAAACTGCCGCTTCGGTGTAAAGCCTAAGAAAGGAAAATTCTTGATCAATTTTGAAACAAAATATAGGTAAATTTATTTCCTTTAATATACATTTATTCACTAAATAATGCTCTTGAGGAGTTCATAATCTAACAGGTAAAATTATCTATAGAACAGGATTATGTGTTAAAATTAAAACAGATTATACAATTTATGAATTTAAATTACTGAGTTCTGAATGCAATCATAATTCAAAATCACAAGTAGGTAATACAGAGTAACCCTAAAACACTAGAAAATGTAGCTAAACATAAAGCTTATATCAAAGGGAGAAAAGGTATACATAAGAAAAAATATAATCAAGATTAAGACATGTTAAACCCTTACAACCATTTCCTTTTTAAAAAATTATCTTTTATTGTAATTTAAGTTTATACATCTTACTGGTTTTTTAATTAACTCTTTTGTAACAATAATTATAATAATAATTATTCATATAATTAACAATGTAATTAGTTATAACGGCTTTTGTATTTTATTTAATTATCATGTTAGGTGCCGTTGAGTCCAGAACAGTGAATAACAGATAGGAAACCTATCTTATCCTGTGCCATCTTCACATTTCCTGACAAATTAGAGCCTACTGTTGCAGTCACCATGTGTCAATCCACCTGGCTGCGGTTCTTCCTCTTGCTTTCATTGACCCTCTACCCTTCCAAACGTCATGTCCTTCTCCAAAAAACAGCCCCTTCTAGCAACATGCTCGCAGTAATGTGAAGCTTCATCATCTTTGTCTCCAAAAAGCACCCTGGTTGGACCCTCTCCAAGACATGTTTGTTCTCTTGTCCATCCATGGGATGTTCAGGGCTTTTCGCCCACACCACAGCTTGAATGCATCAATTTCTTCTCTCATCCTTATTAATTATAATTCATTCATCTAATTCATTACATCTGAACATACCCTAATTTACAAGCACTGCTTTTCTAGGCACTCAATTTAGTGTCTAGTTATTAATTTTAATCTTTTCCTATCTCTGAAAACCATCCAACACTGATTTTGTCTGCAAAATAATTTTCTTTGCTTTTTATAATATTGATCTTTTACAAATTTCCTCCAAACCAGCATTTTCAAATAGACTAAAAAAAATTGGGAAAATTGTTAAATAAAATCCAAAACTTCATACATGGCAAAGAAATAAGGTAAAATTATAAATTTAACTGGATGACTTCAGAAATACTTCCAAATATTATACAGGATCCAAATGTTAAAAAGACATAACAAAGAAAAATGAGGGCAAAATGTTTCCACGACAAGTAACTCCCAAGGAAAAAAAACCCAAAAAGATAAAATGTTGGCAGTGAGGACAGTTAAAAAGGGATGGGAAATGAAGGATGGGGTGTAAAAATTAATAGGTAAGATGAGTAAAAGGAAAGACAATAGACAATAAGGATCAATCACACACTAATTCATTCTAATGTTATAAAACAGGTTTAAGAATGATTAAATGAACTAGTGACTGATAAACTCTCACTAAGAATAAAATCATGGAAACATGATGAAAACAACAACAAAAACAATAAAAAAAACCCCCTAGGCATTCTCTCAGAGAAAGATGGACAGTCGATCTTCCTATCACTAAGTTAGAACTGACATGGGAGTTTGGTTTTTCAGTAAACATAGGATGGATATAGTAAGTAAAGCCATGAAACAGAGCTGGTCTATAAAAATCGTATATACTGTTAACTTGTAGTCTTACCTTTCCAAGAAGTCTGACAAACAAAGGCCATAATTTTAATACATAAGTCTCATTTTTACTCATAAACAGCTTTTGGAGTTCTGAGATCAATTTCTGCCAAAAAAAGTAAAATGTTTATCAAACATATTACTGGAGGTGGTGAAGGCTGCATCTAATGGCAAATTATAATTTTCAAAGACTGATTCCCTCAGACAAAAGCTTTTCTGCAGAAAACTTTCAACCATATAAAGAGCTCTGGTGGTACAGAGTATATAGCATGCTTCAGTTTAATCCATTAGCAGCTCCAAGGGAGAAAAATATGTAGTCTCCTCCCACTGAAATTTAGTCTCTCAGAAAGGCCGAGGATCACCATGAGTTGAAAGTGACTTAACAGCATTGAGTTTTCAAACATACAGAAAACAGAAGCAATTTTATAATAAATATCCAAACAAACATCTTGTGTCTAATGGTTAACATTTTACTAGTTATCACATTATCTATCATTTCGTTCGTCAAGCTAATTTTTCTTTATATGCACACATTTAAAAAGGAACATATTTTCCACAATTTTCCATTCAGTATGTCCACGACCTAGTTTAAATAATCATTAAACTAAATAATAGTTTCAATACTCTCATTTTAATCTTTAAATTTATTACATGAAATTAGAAAAAAACAAATTGGGACTGAATTCTATCCCCTAAAAACTATGAATTTCTAACCTCAGTAACCTAAACAATTGTACTAAATTTGCCTATGGGAGTCTTAAGTTAATAAGGCCACAATGGAGTTGGGTTAAGACTAACCCTAATAACTTAAATGATATAGAGAACAGACAGATATATTCTGGGTAAAAGGCAAATGTCAAGGAACAAGGAATGGCTAGAAATTCAAGAATGCCTGGCAGTTACTAAAAACTAGCAGAGGCTCGTGGAAAAGGATATCCCGCCCCCCTTGAGTGCTGCTGACTCAGATCTGATTGGCACAGAAGATTGCCCATCTGTCTCCCAGCAGAGCATGTGGTGGATCTGAACCGTGCACCTTTGGGATTGCAGCACAGCTTCTTGCCAGTAGGCCCACAGAGTTCCTGGAAAAGGACTCTTGAGAGCAGTTTGGGAGTCTGCCCTCAGAAGACTGCTGTTCTTTAAAGTCACTCATTTGTTGGATATTATTTTTAGGGTGGCACCAAGCAATTAGCTTTACTTAATTAATCATAAAACAAGACCAATCATAAACCCCGAGGCTTTACACTTAGGATGCTCTCGTTACTTAGATTGTTTCTGAATTTAACTATCCCCTGTCCTATACTCTACTCTCTAGTATATTTTCAACAGTTACCCTTTTAAAAATCACCTTGTCATGGTTTTTCAGTGCACTCGTACTTGATGCACTCGTAGTTGAAATCCATTAGTTGATCTGAGGGAAAAATATGCGTACTTTCCTTCTGTGCAATGTAAAGCCTCTGAAAACCCACTTAAGAGTGTCAGGTATGAACTGTTTTCAACTCAACAGCACATAACAAATTATCGATACATACCTAGAGGACGGGGCAAAGCTCAACAAATTCCTTATAATAGTCAGATCCTACGTGAGATGTCACCACTGTTCCAAGCATTGTCTATTCTTTCTCCTTCTCTCCACATCACTCAAACTATACTGCCATCAATCTTCCCTGAACATTAATCAGGCATATCTCTCAAAAGTTGTCTGTGTGGAGACTGTCCCTCCTTCTCCAGCAGAGAGCATCTGGTGGATTTGAACCAAGCACCTCTAGGATTACAGTGCAGCTTCTTGCCACTAGGCCACCAGACCTCCCTGAGACCTTCCATAATCATCTGCCTTTATCTGCAAAGGCATGCCCTATTAACTCTGCTACTATCTATACAGGGCTCTTCACTTAAAATACTTAATGTTCCATCAGGAAATAAAAAAAAAAATCCTCTATATTCTCTGCTAAATTATTTGCTAGAATACTAACTCAACATATAATATGTACTCAATAATTAAAGTTAGAAAACCTAAAATCTGAACCATGTAATATTAGGAAATGGTCCAGACTCGATGTTCCTGTATCTATTAAATCTGTGTGCATTCAAAATGATACACAGCATTAAATTAGTTAATGTGTTCCTCTGCCAGCTTTCCAGAAATGCAGTCCCTCCCTAACTACAATTTATTAGCATGGGTAAAATGCCTACATTGTAACAATACTCAAGAGCCAGCTCCCTTTCCTGTTAAGAACCAGTGTACCTTCAATTAATTTAAGTAATTTCACAAAGATGAGTCTCCTACTAACAATGAAATTATGTCAAGAGGATCTAGAGAGAATTCTAAGCTTAGTGTAGAACCGTAAGATGAAATATAAGAAAATAATACTTTTAATACTTACAGAAGTCATAAGCTGTTCTGTAATAGATGCTATTTCGTGTTGTTTCTGAAGCAACAGTGGCATTCCCATCTCTAGAGCAGTTGCACCCCGCAGATGTACTTTCTGTGCTGAATGAACTACTAAAGGTATGACCAGTTTTGCCCACCTCACTGACTCTTCTCCCATCTGAATTGGGGCTTGTTCAATTAATCTATTTAAAAAAACAGATCAATGAATTTGTACTTTGTAAGGATCCAAACTAGTAGAAAGTATAATCATATAAAAATATGTATATATGATCCATTTATTTTAAAACATGTATGTAGATATATGTACACATAAGCAGAAATAGAAAATTAAGTCTGAAAGCAGGCAATTTGTTAAAGAGGATTATTTTAAGAAGCCAAGACTGAAGAATTCTTACCTACAAATGTGTACAATTTCGCATTATTCATATTAATTTTTAAAATATTTTTATGTAATTTTTGAAAAATAATGAGCACACCATTCTTTAGGACAAAAATTCTAATGGTTTCACTGTAAGAGTCTGTTCTAGAAAACAATATATTTGAATTTCATAAATAAACTAGTATAATTAAAAAACAAATTAAAAAATTTTAATGGTTTTGCGTTATCATTAAGAGGCCCTACTGGCAAAGGACTAACTAAATGATCAGTGGTTCACAGTATTCAGCCATTCTAGGGGAGGAAAAATGAAGCCTCAGAAACACAACGAGAGAGTAGTCAAGAAAGAGTCAGATCAACTACTGTGCTGGATAGGGCCAATTATCAGTATAAAACTGAATTGAAACTTTTTTCATGGAAAGGACAGAGGAAGGAACCATGATCTAATTTGAATGTGACTTAGTGCTTCAAAATATAATCAGCTTAACAGATAAACAAAATAAGAGTGGAAAACAGCATAGAAACTCAAAAACTTTTGTTACTACCATATCCATTAAAGATCCAATCTCAAAACTCCCTGAGGCCACTGAGTCAATTCTATTTCATAGCAAGTAGGACTGGCCTCCAAGGTTAGAAATCTTTACAGAATTAGACTGCCATACCCTGCTCCTGCAGGTGGGTGGTGTGTTCAAGTTGCCAACTTTGAAGTTATAAATGAGTGACACAAGGAATCCTCTACTAAAGATTAGGGGAAACAGAATGTGGGGATTTTTTTTCTTCTCACCTGTCACTAAGTTGTGTTACTGTCTTCATAAATTCTTCCTATAGCATACTTAGGAATTTTTTTACTAAAAAGCTCACGCAAAAGCTTTACCACAGGCTAATTCTAATTAAAAAATGCTGTTACCACCCCAAGAATCACCAAGACTTACTTGTAAGATTTCCTCACTTTAAACAAAACAATAAACTTAGTAACTTATGTATATCTTCTCTATTGCTAGAAACCCTTTGACTTTTTTAAACTTTTGGACTAGAAAACCTTCGATTCTTCTGAAGTGACAAAATTTCACCCCTGAAAAGCATATACCTTATGATGACATTTAATGCTTCATAATCAAGAGTGGCAGAATGCATTTCTCCTTTAGTAAACATTACTTCTAATGTCTCAATTATACTGGATACCTAAAAAACACAATCAAATTTAAAAAAAAATCACATAAATCTGAATTTCTTTAATGGGGTGTGCAATATAGGCAGAAAACATAACCAAAAACTCTACTTACAGCTTTGCCAATCACTTCAGTGGGAAAAGTCTGCTTGGATATCACCCAAAGTGCCCTAGTTCGTACATTTTTGTCTGAAGTCTTAATCATACCATTCAATTTTAAAAGTAGCTCGTGCATTTCTGCTTCTGAAAAGTAGTAGTTTAATTTTAATTATGCATAACTTACATCCTTTTAAATCACAAACATTAAATAGGGGAAAATAATTCTAAAAATCTCAAAAAAATTTTAAATGTCTAACCAAAGATGGATCATAAAACCACTACTATGTTTCAAAATTTACAACTAAAATAATTTTTTAAATGTTTTTGACAATTGTGTGTGTGGAAAAAACAGAAATGTTTTGCATTATGTAATAAATCCTACATCTATGCTTCAAAATAATTCAGCTTCAGGTTGTTAGGATTTTCTACATGGGAAAAAAAGATCATGAAAACACTTTCTGCTTAAAATAGTCACAGCTTTTTGATATTGTTTCTTATTCTGATTCTCCTTTCATCTCCCAGATTACCCTAATAGCTAATTACTAACAGATCAAGAAGGAAAGTTTCTGATCCTGTTTTTCATTATCAATAGGTTCAGAAATATCCCACAATCACTACATGAAAGAATTTCAAGATGAATGACAGTCTTAAATGTTACTAACCTACAAAGCAGGAGATGCATTTTTATAAAGATGAAATATGTTTTTAGATCAAGTTTAAATAAGTAACTTTAGTGAGAATGACTACTAGAGTTAGAGCTATGTGTAGGAAAAAATGCAAACAATAATTTAACCATTTTTTAAAAACTAATCTATCAGTAGTATTATGCTGTTTTAAGTAATTTATACTTACAAACCCTAAAAATATTAATGGTAATAAACAATACAATACCTGATAATATTGAAGAATTTCTGGGATTGTGTAAGCAAAATCCCAAGGCCTGTAGAGCAGCGCTACTTAACTCTGGGTTTTGACTGGAAATGTGAGTCTATAAAAACAAAATCATGTTATGATTATAAATGTGAGTCTATAAAAATGTGATGATAAATGTGAGTCTATAAAAACAAAATCATGTTATGATTATAAACAAGCACAACAGTTTATTTACAAAAAAAAGGCCCAAAATAGTGAAAGCATTAATCTTTAATCTTATCAATCACAAGTCAAACAAAAACAATTAGAGACAATACATATACTTAAAAAAAAGAGAAAATAAAGGTCAAGTGAATAACAAACATTACAAAGAAAATACACTGCCAACTGAAGCAATGAGAAAGACGTTAGCAACTGGATGTCAAAAGATAAGGAGTAAGAAACAGGGAGGCCTTCCTATACCCTCAAATTAAAAAAACAAAAGCAGCACCTCAAAAATCTTTTTAGTATTCTAACTTTAGAGTGAATGATCACCTCTTCCACTCCCATTTAGGAAGGGGTTGGAAAGTAAACCATTTGAGTGCTATAAATTTTAAGCATCTCAAACAACCTATAAAAAAAATTCTTGTGCAATAATGAAAGAATCTTCTTAAGGAGAAAAGTAAACAGGGGAGGGATAGGAAGGAAAATGTGAATGAATGGAAATCCAAGTTTTCTGTAAACTTTCATGAAAATATCAATAAAAAATTTGAAAAATTCATGTTATACATAAAAGAATTTTCATTCCTATTCATCTTGAATCCCACATCCAAACCGTACTGATGTATATAAAAATTTACAAAAGTCCAAACCGGTCAAGGAAGCCTCATTGCATCCACCATTCCCAGGTGAAGTGTAATCTGGTGTTTTCATGTACCATTTATCTTAAAGAGTTTTAGCTTCAAAATCCTCAATATCCAGTAAATAACCAGACTCCTGGGCCATTATTCTTAAACAACAATGCTAATATTCATGTAACTGAACAAATACTTCACTAAAGCATAGCCCTTTGATAATCAATGTTTTGTTCATGTTTTTTTTAAAAAACAATTAGAAAAAAAGTGAAACTTAAGAATACTTTTACTAGATAACCCTAGCACGTCTTTGACCAACTTTTATAAAACACATATACATTTAATCTATGAATACTGTAAGATCCTAGATATAATAATACTGTTGTTAGGTCCCATCAAGTACAACTCATAGCAACTCTACAAAATAAAGATCTGAACCCTATACTATTCTGTGTTGTCGTCATCATTATCATCTCTGACACATACACTATGTCAATCCATCTGGTTGCGGGTCTTCCTCTCTTTCTCCAACCCCTCCACCTTTCCAAGTATGATGTCCCTCTCAAAGAAATGGCCACTCCTAACACAGCCAAAATATGTGAGATGAAGCTTTGTCATCTCCATGGAACACTCTGGCTGCACTTTCTTTAAGACATAACTATTTATTCTTTTGGAATTCCATAGGCTATTCTGTACTTTCCTCTAATATCAGAGTTCAAAGGTATCAATAAGTCTTCTATCATTATTATTCACTGTCCAGCTTTCAGGTACATACAAAGTGATCAGAAAGATCAAAGCCTGCATCAGATGCACTTTAGTCCTCAAACTGACATCACTCAGTAATTTGGAGAGGTCCCTGTTTGCACTTTTCCAATGGACACCTCCTGATGTCTGATTTTTGGAACCAAGTGTGCTGACTGTGGATCCAAGTAAGATTAATTCATTTACAGTTTCAATCTTTTCTCGATCTATCATGATGTTGCATACTGGTGTTGTAGTAAGAATTTTTGTTTTCTTGACACTGAGGTGTAATTATATAGAGGACTGTATGTGTTCTTTAATTGGCAACATGCACTTGAAGTCCTCCTCACTTTCAGAAAGAAAGCAAGGCTGTGGTATTAGCATAACACACATGGTGATGAGTCTTCCTCTGACCCAAATGCCATATGCTTCTTCAAAGACATTATATTAACAGGATTCTACACCGTATTATGTCCCCTTTCCTCCAAGAAATCCCCAAACCTACTGCTCACAAGCAAATTCTGACTCCTGACTAAACTACAACAGGTTTTTTTGGCTGAAATCTTTATGGGAGACTGCTGGTGGATTAGAACTGCCAATGTTTCTGTCAGCAGGCAATCACATAGTGTGGTCTCTTTTCAGAAGTACAATTTTCTTTTCATTGTGTAACAATTCACACAACACTGATTTAGTTGGTTTTCCAATTATTAACCTTTCACATGCTTCCAAACTAATTATAAATTTTAGTTACAAAGAGAGCAACTTGACTCAAAATGCAAACGAAAAAGTTACTAGATGTCTCAAATACAAATATAAGATTTACACCTTCAAAAAATCAAATCCACTGAGGGAATGAATCTACAGTGTGATAATCAAGTCTCTGCCATATAATAAGGTTCTCACATGAAATTGTGATAGAAAGTATGTATTTTGTTAACAATGTTGTTTTTAGGCATCATCATGCCAACTATGACACAATGAACAACAGATCTGAATTCTACCCTATCCTGCACTCTTTTCAGGATCCACCATGCTCAAACTTATGGTAGCCACTGTGCCAACCCATTTTACAGGGAGTATTCATCTCTTACTCTGACACTATACCGTTCCCAGCATAATGTCTTTTTCAAGTATTGAGACAAAGTTTCACCAGCCCTTGCTTCTAAGGAGCACTCTCATTACAATTCCTGTAAAAGAGACTTATTTGTTCTTTGGGCAGTGCATGGCATATTCAATACAATTCTCCAACACCACAATTCAAAAGCATTGATGACTGGTCTATCTTGCCTTTTCACTGTTCAATTTCAAATGCATACAAAAGAAATGTTAGCACAGCTGGGATGGAGGACATACTATTATTTAAACTGGTATGTTTGCTCCTCAATATTTTGAAAATGTCTCTGACAGCAGATTTCCCCAATGCAACATGTCTTTTAACTTGACTCCTGACAGAATGTCAGTGTTGTTTAATTATTTGCAACTCTGCCCTAGCATGAGACAACTTTATTGTCTCTGACACATCTACCCCGTCACTGAGTCAATCCATCTCATATAGTGTCTTCTCTCCTGTGTTGTCCCTCCACCATCCCAAGCATGCTATCTTCTCCTTCCAACATGCCCAAAGAATGGCTGACAGAGCTTCAGAATCCTTGCTTCTAAGAAGCAGCTTGGTTTCACCATCTCGAGGACGAACTGCTTTGTCCTCCTAGCAGTCCATGGTATATTCAACAGTCTTCTCCAGCACTACAACTCAAAGGCATCAATTCTATTTCTATCATCCCTAATTCTTGTCCAGCTATCCGAAGCATTGAAAGTAATTGTGAAGACCATAGTCTGGATCAGGTGCCCCTTAGTCTCCAGACTGACATCACTGTTCTTCAGTACTCTAGCAAAGTCTCTGCTAGAAGACTTATGTTCAAATGCACAAAAATCATTAAAAAAAACCAAAAACTCAAACACCTCAGAAATTTAGTTCAATTTCTACTCTAAAAATGGAAATGTACAAGCTAAGTGCTAACGAGTAGTCAAATGTGCACAAGAGCACAGACCTCAGTGTCCTGTTAAACTACACCAACAAAAGGAAAGGCAGTAATGGCTTTTCAATGAAGCAACAAAGGTACAATGTAACGGTGGTTGCAGATAAAAAACCCCATATAACCCACAAAGCAGAACAAAAATCAACTAAAATTTTAAATACTTTCAGAAGTATATTCTTATGAACATGTTCTTATGAGCAATTCTACACACACACTAAAAAAAACCCTAATACTGCAGACTCTTACCTAGCCTCCATGGTGTTTCCAATGGCTATAAACCTAAATGGGAGAAGAATGCCTTTCTTCCTCGGAGCCACTAGTGAATTCAAACCAAGGACCTTTCGCATTACAACATGTTATGCACTGCACTATCCCACCAGAGCACCTTAAAAGGCATCATTTTAAAACATGTATCTCTGAGCACTTTCAAGTGTGACGAGGATGTAAATCAAATAATTATGGAAGTAGGGAGTTCTACTTCAGTGTAAGAAACTGCACTGCCACCCAAAGGCATTAAGTTTGAATCCACCAGCTGCTCCATGGTAAAAATGGGCAGTCTCCTCCCAAGCCATTTACAGCCTCTGAAAATCCACTAGAAGGTCAGCTATGACTCAGTGTCAACTCCATGGCACACAATAAAGGGAAGCTATCGTGGTGTAGACTATAAGGAAATGCATTCATTGTTAACTCAAAAATAGCACAATTCTAGAGGTTCAAATCCCCCAGCAGCTCCAAGGGAGAAAGATGAGCAATTCCTGGTGATTTATAGCACTGGCAACTCAAAAGAGCTATGAATCAGTTCCAACTCGATGATAACAACTTCAGCATGAGAATCGCCCTAAAAGCACTTAATCTATTTTGTTGTCATGTACTGTCATTTTGGAACCAACAGCTTGTTTTCATGAGTAATACACATCTTTCTCCTGCAGAGTAGCTGATAAATTTGAACCACGTGTCTTTTGGATTGGTAACACTACTCCTTTCCACTAAGCCACGGGAGTTCCTAAAGAATGAGCAGTTCAAATCCACCAGTCAACTCTTAAGAAGAAAAACTGGAAGTACTTCAGTGAAGATCTCATTTCAGTGGATTATTTTTAGTTGGATCTGGCTCAACAGTGATTTCTTTAATGGACTGCTTAATAAAAAACAACACCACCACCAAACCAAACCAAAAAAACCCAACACCTCATACTACTTTTCTCTCAAACTGCAGCTTGCTGACTTGCAACTGAGATATTCTGGTTAGCAGCCAAGTAAGTTATGCATTTTGCCAAATTACATACTGCCTTGTTGTACAGCACCACAGCATGCACTTTCCCACAATGTGTGGGACAATGCCACATCCTGTTATGTGCTACCTCATATTGTAGAAGCACCCTATTGGTATTCTACCAAGACTCCTCTATAGGGATCACTTCAATTACAAAATAGTTTAAAGACATCTCACAGAGATAAGGTGAATTAAGTACAATAATATAATGTACCTGAGAGTACTCGATACAGTAAACAAAACAATAATCCAGCCTGTAGGACTGATTCGTTTTAGAGTCAATGTTTTCATAAAGTTGGCGAATCAAAGCAGAACAAAGCAAAACCACATCACCAATTGCTTAAAAACTCAGAAACACATACCTTAAAAACTTTATATAACCGAGAAAGCTTTTCCTCAACTTCTGTAATTACTTCTTTTCCTTCTTCTCCACTCATACGACTTAAAAGTAGAAACAACACAAGTTTATGCAAATGGAGGCACAAAATTCTAATCACTCAATACTAGCATTTTAAAGACTTGCAAATGAATTATCCATTTATTAAAGACATATAATGTTATTTTACACACATGATGCAATAAATATCTGAAATAAATGCAAGGAAAAAATCATTCTGGGTATCTTTTTCATACACAAATTCTGACAGCTTTTGTGGACTGTACAGGGACAACCCATTAACAACTATTTGGAACCAACTCATAGTTAACCCTAGAGAGAAGGTGGGATCAAAGACTGTAAATCACAAGGGAGATTGTCCATCTTTTTCCTGCAGATCAGCTGGGGGATTAAAATTACCTGTCTTTGGGTTAGCAGTACACCCCATTAGTCCAAGCCAGGCTCCAGGGGTACCTATCACTAATTACAAATTTACTAACCCCACTCCCCCCGCCCCAGTTTGGATACCACTTGTTACCCTTTCCTAGCAATTTCCAAATAAGTGGACTACTCTGAAGAATACGATCTGCAGGGTGAGGCATTCTTTAAGATAAAAGATTATTGCTCTCTTTCCGTTAAAAAGTATTCTCGGTTGCCACATTCCATCCTGATAAATGAGCTGCTTAACTCTGGAAACCTCTCTACATTCCTTTGGCATGCCCACTTTTAAAAAAAAAAATCCTGGTAATAGAACAAAGTTCTGATCTGTTGTGTCGTCGCTGAGTGTCGTAGTAGACTGGACGACACCGAACATGAACTTGGAAGTCAGGCGTGCAACTTGCAAGACTCCCTCGGTTCCCATCACACACCTTCAAGCATGCACCCGGCTGCAGCCGCGTCCCCTCCTCGTTCAGACCTGCTGAAGAGTCCTCCCAGGACCCCGAGATGTAAAATACACAAACCCAAAGCAAGCCGAGTCTGAAACCCCTCCCCCACCCGCGCTCACACCTAACCCCCTGCGGGCCTCACCTGGCCAGGGTCAGGTACGCGTCAATCAGCTCTCCATGGGAGGCGGAAGCGTCTTCCAAAGTCTCCAAGAGCGGCGCGAAGGGGTTCTCACTCGGGGCCGTCATGTTGGGTAGACTGAGGCACAGACCGGAAAAGAAACAGCAGTGACCGACCGCGCAGCCCCGGGGGCGCCCAGGCAGAGTCCCGCCCGCAGACCTGTGCGCTCGCCCCCGACCCCAGCCCCGCCGCCTCCGTATCCCCGGGACTGGATGCACACACAGAAACCGCTAACCTCTTCCTCCGCCCCGCAGGACGCATCTGGGCCCACTCTGCACTCGGGCCCACTCCGCACTCGGGCCCGCTCCCGCCACCACCACTTTCCCGGGCTGGATTCAACAGGGGGAGGAGACCGGCGGGGGGCGGGAGATGCGCGGGGGAGGGAGGGGGCGGAGGCTGCGTCGGACTGGACTCTCCGCGGCCTCGCATCGTGACCTCGATAATTACCCGCGCGTACAATGACCAGGGCTGCCTTCTCTTTGTCGCTACCCCACGGCACCCGGACGCAGCCAGATCTCGACTTTTTCTACTCAGGCTGTTTACTCACGCGTGCGGCCCAATCCCTCCAAGACAAAGATGGCGGTGTGGGCGGGCCCAAGAGCGCGCGGGAGTAGGGCAGGCCTGGCGGGAGAGGCCAGAGCCAATCCAACAGCCTGCCGCGCGCCGCTGTCATCGATAGTTCCCTTCCCTGCGCCGCCCACAAGTCTCCTGCCCCTCCAGTGGTCTCTCTAGAGATGCGAGTGTTGTCACACGTGTGCTAGGAAAATAATATGAACGTTGTCCTAAGTTCTCAAACCTAGAGTTAGAGGCTCAATGGTCATTTAAATACTAGCAAAAGGATGTAACACACTTTTAAGTTAGAGTCCTTGCATGTTGTAGACGGCTGAGAGTTCCACTGCCAACTGAAGGTCGTTCTAACGCTTCTTGGAAGACTGTTCCTGAAAAGTTACAGCTTTGAAAAGTCTGTGGAGCAGACTTCTGCTATACGTGTTTCCTTGCCCTGAGTATGGATTAACTCCGCGACAACCAGCAACTCATTTAAGATTGAGGGCAGCACCGCCAGTCCTTTAGATTTCAGCTGTGTAATATTAGCAAAGTAATCACTCTTCCTACCTCTGCATGTTGAGGATAATTGTAGCATCTATTTGAATTGATAGTTAAATGAGCATAAAAGGGAGAGGCAAGTGATTGTCAAGATTTAAATATGCATAACAATGTTCTGGGGAATACTCTCTAGTAAACTGCAGATTTCTGGGTCCCGCCCTTAAACTCTGGTGGTCTAGGGGTTTAGAATGCGCGCTGCAATCACAAAAGGCACCCAGTCCAAATCCACCAGATGCTCCAGGCGGAGAAAGATAGGCAATCTCCTCCCCAGAGATTGACTCTGAAAACTTTCCCGAGGCTCAGTTAAAGGTCCAGCTGATTCCGACTAGACAGTACTCAACCACAACAACAACATCAATACTTGTTAGGACGGGCTTCTCTTTGGAAAAAGACTTCATAGTTGGAAAGGTGGAGGGTCGGCTATGCATCAGTTCATAGTCATGGCAAAGAACCCTTAACCATTGTGATTCCCTGCACTTAATTTGCTCCTAAAGACTGCACTTTTCTGTGTTAGTCTATTTACAGGGCCTGACTTCAACGCTGTTGAGCACAACCAAGAGCTCTAGAGGCCAGATATGCATTTTGTTCTCTGTGTCATCTGCACAAGCAGAGTGTCTATCTAATGAGCACTCAGTAAACAATGTATTTCTTAAATGAGGAAATGGAAGAAGTTAGCAGGTCTTACAAGTGTAATGGAAATTAGAAACTGTAAATTTTCATTGAAATTAATAATAAATTTTAAAAAATTTTAAAAAGAAAATTATAAACTAAAGAATGATTAAGAGGTATTGGTGAAGTATATGGAAAGAATGACAAAAGAAAGCTTTTGATGTAGCCTAATAACATGTCCGTTAACACGCAGAGGAGAATTTGCTCCTGATTTTCTGACCTTTGGGACGTCAACATAGGTATTTAAGAATGAAATTATGAAAATTAAAAAAAAAAAGAATGAAATTATGTTATTAAACAAGGAATACAATATAAACAAATGTGTAACATTCTGTCTCAACGTAGTGGAAGTGTTGTGTCGCAAAGTGAGAGTTTTGAAATGCCATTACTATCCATGGTGGCTAAAACGGGAAAAAATTTTGAGATTTCCTTAAAATAGACAAGTCCTCTATCATTTTTTTTCTTTCTTGATGTGTACAGTTGAATTGGATCCGACTGGCGCAGGAGATTGCCCCTCCTTCTCCAGCGGAGCATCTGGTGGATTCGAATCACGCCCCTTCAGGATTGCACCGCAGCTTCTTGCCACTAGGTCACCAGAGCTCCCTCTCCTTTATCATTCTATTTCTTAACTTATTTTATTCTTTCTAATATTTATAAGTGTCCATAGGCAATCTCCCATGCAATTTACAGTCTTCGAAACCCACTGGAGGGAAGCTATGAGTTGGCTTCAACTTCATTAGAATGAGTGCGGCAATGATACTTAGTGTCCCTTAGGGTTCTTTGGTATTTTACTGTGTTATTGTTGTTGGCTTCTTGAGGAGTGGCAGGTCATATAGCCCTGGTGTGTCCACTTACAGCGGTAACTTGTGGTTGCTGTGACACTGATGTGTCAAATGTGTTAATGGTTGGATACCCACGGCAGACAGTGCTGGGTGGACCTCCCCATTAAAACAAGCTTGGAAGCAGGAGCTGCGTCCACTTCCATAATAGCTTGTCTCTGGAAAACCTATGAACCTGGAGAGAGGATGAGAGACACCCAAGCGTTCAGGACTTTCCTTCATAGGGTCGCTATGAGTTGCCTGCAATTCAAAGGCACTTAACAACAACAACAACAACAACAACAACAACAACAACAACAACATTGTTGTTGGTACCATCGAGTCCAAACTGACCCATAGCTGATCCTCAAGCAGGTTTTTAAAGGGGGTGAATCACACGGGAAGAGATTGTCCATTTTTCAATCGTAGAGCAGCAGGAGGTTTCAAATGTCTGCCTTTGAGTTGGAAGCACAATCAATTCCTTGCTACTAAGCTACAGGAGAAAGATGGGCCTCCTGAGTCATTTACTGCCTTTAAAAACCCTCTTGAGGGTCAGCTACGAGTCCACTCCAATTTGAAGGTACACAACATTTTGCTACGGACATATTGAGAAATCTTATCTAAAGATCTAAAAATTGTGGAGTCAAGACAAATCCCTTTTTACGTCAGGCTGCTATCCACACACCCTTCCAGATAAACTGCTACCCCTATGCTTCTGAGAGGGAGCTCTGGTGGCCTAGTTGTAATAAGCAATACTGCAGTCCCAAAGGCACAAGTTTTGAATCCATCAGCGACACTGCAGAAAAAGGATGGACAATTTCCTCCCCTGAGATTTACTGCTTCTGAAAACCCACTGGAGAGTCATCTATGCATCCATATGAACTCAATAGCACACAAAAACCACAGGCTTCTGGAAAGCTCTGGTGGCCTACTGGTAAGTAACTGCACTGCCATCCTAAAGGCACACAGTCCTAATCCATCAGCTCCTCCTTAGGAGATTGATGGACAGTGTCCTCTGAGATTTATTGCCTCTAAAAACCCACTGGTGGGTCAGCTACGAGTTCCCCCCAACTTGATGTTACACAACAACATACCTACCTTTTGTACAAATTCTAGAGTCAAGACAAACTCCCTTTCACTCCAGGCCTCTATCCACACACCTTTCCAAACAAAAGGCTACAAGAACACCTAGAACCCCAAACAAGGGAGGAAATGATGAAGTTCAAGAGTTGAACAGAAGATTTCAAACAGCAGCTCATGAAGACAAAGAAAAGGGTTATAAAAAAAAAGGGTTATAATGAAATGTGCAAAGAGCTAGAGTCAGAAAATGAAAAGGGAAGAATTCGCTCAGCATTTCTCAAACTGAAGGAACTGAAGAAGAAATTCAAGCCTTGAGTTGCAACCTTGAGTAATACTATGGACAAAAATTTGAATGATGCAGGAAGCATCAAAAGAAGATGGAAGAAGTACACAGAGTCACTGCATCAAAAAGATTTGATTGACATAGAACCATTTCAAGAAGTAGTAGCACATGATCAATAAGAAAGGAAGAAATTCAAACTGCTTTAAAGGAATTGGCAAAAAAATAATGCAGTACCCATTGACATATTTCAACAAACAGATACAGCCCTGGATGTGCTCACCAAATTGTGCCAAGAAATCTGGAGGAGAGCTACATTGTCAAGTAACTGGAAGAGTTCCATATTTGTTTCCAATCCCAAAAAAAGGTGATCCAACAGAATGTGGAAATTATCAAACAATATTATTAATATTTCATACAAGCAAAATCTTGTTGGAAGGTATTAAAAAATGACGAGAAGCATACATCAACAGAGAGTTGCCAGAAATGCTTAGCTGGGTTTAAAAGAAGCCGTGGCACTAGGAATGCCATTTTTTATGTCAGATGGATCTTGGCTGAAAGCAGAGTACTAGAAGGATGTCTATTTGTGTTCTATCAACTATGCAAAAGCATCAAACTATGCACACCCATGTTTTATTGCAGCTTTGTTCACAATAGCAAGGAGTGGGAAACAATCCAAGTGTTCATCAACAAACGAATAGATAGAGAAGCTGTGCTATATTCACACAATGGAATACTATGCTGCATTGAAAAACAAGGAACTCATGCAATATTATTCCAAATGGGTGACCCTGGAGGACATTATGCTGAGTGAAATATCTCAGTCACAAAAGGACAAATACTGCATGGTGCCACTGTTGTAGAATGGGACTGACATCAGGGTTGGGGTAAGACTGAGAAAAACTGGTTAAATTATATACACTGCATTGGAACAGATGAGAGATAGAACAATTTAAAAGCAATATATGATAGGGTATTATGGTTATCACAAGAGTCCAGAATTAAGGTTGCATAGTGGAGTGTACTGGGGTGGGCGCTGGAGGAGTGCGGGTGGTGGTGGGGGGGGGAGGTTTGTATACCAATGAAAGAATTTTTCTTTTACTTTTCAAAGAGAGGA